GGAGCCGTAGCGCGTGCATGGCCACGTCAGGGAACTTAAACCCTAGGATAAACTGCCCAGAAACTATAACAAATATATTTGAGAGAGGAAGAAGAAAGAGAGGAAGAAAGAGCATTGGTTTATGTGTTTTTTTTTTATCACTCTTTTAGGGTCCTTGTTATAAGCCAAAAATGGACCCATTTAGAAATAACAAAAAGACATATTTAGGGCCTGTTTGGATTCGTACGGGGTGAAGGGAAGTTAAGGGAAACTGAGTGAAGGGAAGGGAATGGAAAGGAAGGAAAGGGAAGGGAATTTCATTCCCCTTGGTTACACCCCAATTTGGGGGGTAACAATTTTTATACTATTAGGGGGTGAACCAAGGTGAATGGAGGTGAATTAACTTCACCTCCTAAGTGTTCCCAAACAAGGTGAATGGAGGTGAATGGTTCCCCTAACTTCCCTTCACCCTCATTCCCCTCAATCCAAACAAGCCCTTAAGGTTTTACATCACGCTTTTCACATCCCTGACGAGTAGAGATAGCCTTATATTATTATTGTTAGTTTGTTAGTTGTAATATTTGATTTGGTCATTACTTATCCAACAATCCCCCCTCAAAGCAAATATCAAACTTAACCAAAAAGGATAAACGAATAAAAAAACTATAATATGTATGGGCATAAATTCTATTCATTGGTATAGTCTATAGATAGCTTCCGCCTTGAACCTACACTTGTAGCATTTGTTGCATTTGGAGGAAACCGAGTGAATTTGAGACCTTGAGCTAGGCTCTTTTATTAGAAATTAACTTTACTCTATTCAGTCGTGGGTTAGCGTGTCACCCTTATAACTATAATATGTATGTTTCTATCTATTTGGGCTTAATCCCACACCTTTGACTGAATATTGGAGACCTTTTGTCAAATGATCTATCAAATTATGTTCAAAATGAACAAAGTCTATAAAGTGACATAAAAATTTTAAGAGTCTCCTTATTGCTTCATATTTTATCTACAGATGTTTGTTTAATTTTAAATTTGTAGTTTTCTGCTTAAGCAATTCAATAACAGCTTAGCAATCATATTGAATTGAAATAGCAGGAGTAGGTTTAGGAACATAGAAATACCAGAAAGTAAATCTATAAGCCATTCAGCTTCAAAACATGCAGTGTCAAGTGCTATCGATCCAGATTCTGTTAGCAATTATAGTTTGTTTATTAGAGCCCCATGCAAATGACAACTCTCCTAGCATGAACACAAAGCATGATGTAGATTTAACATCTTGAAAATTAGTTACCCAGTTGGTATCACTATAACCTTCGACTACATCAGGAAAACTACTGTATAGTAAACATGACTCTAAGGTGCCTCTTAGGTATTTAAATACTCTATCTAGAGCATGCTAATGCTCAATGCTAGGATTATAAGTATATCTACTTAATCTATTTACTGCATACGAAATGTCAGATATGCTCCTATTTGTTATATACATAAGTAATCCTATTTGTTGAGCATATTTATGTTGTGAGATAAGGTCTCCTACATTTTTGTATAGAGAAATGCTAGTCATAAGGAGTAGGTACAGGTTTGCACTCATAATAGTTACATTTTCTAAGTATTTTTTTAATTGAGCACTGCAAAGATAAAGATATACCTTTGTCACTTTTAGAAATTTTCATTCCTAAAATCATATCAATTGTTCCTAAATCTTTCTTAACAAATTTATTTGATAGGTAATTTTTGACATCATCTATTACATCTAGAGAAGTTCTAAAGAATATCATCAACATACAAACATAAAATCACATGATCATGTCCTTAAGAACGTGTTTGACAACTTGACACTAATCCGGTTAAGATCTTGATCGGGCTAGAATTGGACCAAGTTAAGGGTGGTTCAAAGATAATCTAGATAAGGGCCTTTTTTTTTTAATTTAAAAAAACTAGTCCAAGCTTGTACAAGTTTTTACCAAACACAATTTAGACTCTTATCCAAGTTTGCGGACTTATCCAAATTAGTGGGTGAGTTGCCAAACAAACTCTTAAAATAAATACACTTATCCGATTCATTAATAGAAATATCAAAATCTAAAATTACTCAATTAAATTTCTTATGCCACTGTTTAGGAGCTTGTTTAAGTCCATACAAAGATTTAATTAATGTGCACACTTTATTTTCTTATCCCTTAATTACAAAACCATCAAGTTGATTAATATAAATTTCATCTTCTAGCTCGCCGTATAAAAATGCCATTTTTACATCCATTTGGTGAAAAATTAGATCGCGAATAGAAACTAACGCTAGTAGACGTCTTATAGTAATTATCCTGCTAACAAGGACATATATGTTAAAGAAATATATTCCTTTCTTTTGAGTATATCCCTTAGCTACTAATCTAGCTTTGTATTTTTCAACACTACCATCAAATCTGAGTTTCTTTTTAAATATCCACTTACATCCTACAGGTTTATGTCCAGGAGGTAAATCTGTTAGTAACCAGACTTGATTTTCAATAATTGATTTCATTTCACATTTTCACTAGTTATAGCCTCCTTCCAAAATAGTGAATCACTACTCACTAGAAGTCATAGCCTCATCATAAGATGTAGAATCCTCTTCTACTGAATACATAAAATATTCTTCTCAGTTTTTTTTAGTTCTAATTCTTTTATTTCTTCTTGGTTCCAAAATTTTTCTAGGTTCTACATTAGTAGATTGGTCAATTATTTGTTTAGAATATTTTGTTTTTATAAGGAAAAATTTCCTCAAGATATGTAGCATCTCTAGCTTCAATTATTGTATTATTAGATATTTTATTAATCTCTGAATTAATTACTAAGAACTTATTTGCATTGCTATCTAGAGCATATCCAATAAAGATAGCATCTACAGTTTTAGGTTCAATTTTCTTTCCTTTAAGTTTAGGAATACTAACTTTAGCTAAACATCCCCACATGTACTCCATAATTACAACAGTTCGGTATGTTAGAAATTTCTTGGTCATTACCTTAATTTGCTTTCAAATTTAACATCAAGTACTTATGGACTTTTATGTAGGTTGGAAGATAATACAGTCCACTTTATGTAAACTTCTCAAGAGGTGATAAATGTTGCAGTTGGATTTCAAACTACGATCTTATTGTTTGCATTGGAAAAGGATCCAATCTGGTAATCTTAACCTCTCAAGAGAGAATAGATGTCGGAGTTGCTAGTTTTGACAAAAAAATTAGACGTCATGTATCAAGAAACTAACTGGTTGCTGCTGGCTCATGGTGCACAGGGACATGTGAAAAGGGTTAGACAATGGTGATCAATTTAATGTTTTTCTTGAGATCATTCTTTGTGATACCGTGATTTATTTCTGACCATGATGAACAGAAAATATCCACATTTCATTACCTTCTCCATATGTAGCTATCAATTGACTCATATCATCGATGGTAGTAGACTTACAAAATTTTCATTTTTATTGGGCATGCTATGACTAATCGTTACTAGCAAGTCGACAAATTTTGAAAGTTTGTCCCCTGACAACATTAAAAAAAATTCACCAACTTACATAAAAAATGTGATGATTTTAGTGACACCACTTCCTGTTTTCAGCAAAATGAATAATGTGTCTTCATTCATATGTACAATGACAATAATAAGACGTCAAATTTGACTTGACACAGATAGCAACATACACATCAAGGCAATCATTTGAACAGTGTAGTTATCTCCACAACCTCCACAAAAATATTCCAGATTTGTTCATATAAAACATGCACTAAAGGATATTAATAGTCATTAAATCATTCACCTCATGTAGTAGATGAGATCAAACAAAAGAGAGCACAGAGTATGGGAGCAGCAATGGATCATGTGCATGAGATCTACAATCGAAATAACTAAGTTTAGATATACTTTATGCAGATCATCTCTGCCTTGCAGCTGCATAATCCAAAGTTCTTCTAGACAAAGGTCGGAGGATAACCACACTTGCACAGGCGAGAGATCCTCATATAATCACCTCACTATTAGCTCTAAGCAAAAAACAGGATGAAAGAAGGAGATGAAGGCTATATGATCTCTAGATGTCTAGAAAAGCCTCTTCATGAACCCTACACAAGCGCATATATAGCCGTAGACGGGTAAAACCCTAGCCTCAGTCCGGCTTGGATTCAATATGGGTTCCCGGCTGGACCTGATGCATTTGGAGGGGTCTTAATACACAACAGTACTTTCCAAAATGACTAACATCATAGACCAATTTGTGTACTTATAGGAATCCCAAATCAAAAACCTCAACAACCCATATCAAACAGTATCCAATCTCACTAATACACCTTCTTGTATTCAGCATTTAGATTAGCAAATAATGCACCTTCACTCTATATATGCAATAACTAGAATCTGACATGAAATTTGACTTTATACAACAGTAAGGCAATAATTTGAACAACATAATTATCTCCATAACCTCTAAACTAAAATTTCCAGGTTGGTTCCCATCAAAATGGCTAGCATCGTAGATCAATTTGTATCCTTAATCATCACCATTGGTACAGTGACAAACTCCCCATAATTCTACAAAATTAAAGGGTATAAATTATGTACGTGTAAGTTGTAATAATGCTAGGTCAAATACCTCAACAATCACGTATCAAACAGTATCCAATCCAACTAGTATACACTTCCTGTTTCTTTAAGAGTTCCAATTAGTGAATAATGCATGATGCATCTGCACTCATATGTGCAAAAACTAGAGTCTGACATGAAATATGACTTGATACGACAATAAGGAATTGTTTAAAAACATAATTATTTCCACAGCCTTGCATACAATTATCAAAATGGTTCCTACCAAAATGGCTACCATTATATATAATTATATATGTTTACCACTAACGATCTGCATTCTTACAATGGCAAGATCTCACTTGCCTTACAAGAATTAAAGGGTATACAAATTATATACTTGTAAGAATCCCAAATCAAAAACCTTAACAATCATAAATCAAACAACACACCAGCTCACTAGTACTGAATAATGCATCTTCACTTTATTTGTGCAAAAACTAGATTCTGACATGAAATTTGACTTGATACAATATCAAGACACTGATACATAAATTTTACCAAATTGGTTCCTACCAATGTGCCTAGCATAACATATCCACGTATATACCCTTAGTCATCAACATTCATAAAATGATAAACTCTTAAAGTGTCAAAATTTTGTATACTTGTAATAATCCCGAATCTTAACAACTATGTAGTAAAATCTCTTACCCATAAAAAAATCCTCTATGATTATGCTGCCTTCGAGCTTCTAAAATCCTTCTTGAGCTCCGCCACCCTCTTCACGCACTCCGCCTTGGACCTCCCCGGCACGGCCGCCGCCACCTTCTCCCACCTCATCGCAACCTCCTTCGGGAACGCCTTCAACGCATTCAACAGCGCAATGTCCTCCCCTGAGCTCCACTTCCCACCCTCCTTAACCTCAGCGTCAACACCTTCAACTCTCTTATCCAGTGGCTTCCTCTGCTTCAAGAACTTAGCAAACGAGTCCTTCTCCTCGGGTTTCCTCTCCGCCATCGATTTCCCCATCTTTATAACACTCTCCAAACCATGCCTCCTCCCAAAAGCCTCTGAAATCTTCTCCCATCTCCTGGGTTCACCGACCGGATGCTTCAAGATCTGCTTCTTTAGAATCTGTAGATCTTCATCAGTCCACTCCAACTCCTCCTCCTCCTCCTCCTCCTCCTCCTCAAAGGCCTCAACTTTACCAGATCTCGTCACATTGCTGGTCGGATCTTCAGGTTTAGGTAACGGATTAGGGTTAGGGTTAGGGTTAGAGCTATAAGGCCGGCGAGATCGAGAGCGGCGAGAGGGGGCGGGAGCGCGGCCGTCTGTCTGCGTCGGCGGCGGAGGGTGGAGGGGCGTGCCGGCAGCCGACTGTGCGTCGCCGCCGGTGACGGAAGAGGGGGCGAAGGGGGCGACGAGGAGGGAGAGGGAGATCCAGAGGAGGAGGAAGGTAAGGGTTTGGGAGGATTGGAGAGAGGAGGAGATGAAGAGGATGAAGAGGAGGAGGAGGGAGAGGGAGAAGCACGAGAGGACGCGGAGGGCGCTGGGTTTCTGAGCTGGGGTTCTCTGGGGGCTGGAGGTTGAAGACGAAGGGCGAGATTGGAACAGGAATCGAGGGCGGGATTCTTCCTCCATGAACTCCATCGAAGACCTCTCTCTCACTAGCGAACGCGACCTCGACGAGCCGGTGCTCGTAATTTAGACCGTAGCTTGTTTCTGTGTTTTTACGAAAATGGCCCTGATTCGGGGGACTTTGCGAGGATAAAAACGGCCGGGCGCTGATTTTAGAGGAAGATGGATTAGTGGGGGGTCAAACATTGATAATTAGAGCATGTTCGGAGAATTTGGGTTATAATCTGCGCTTGATGGTAAAGCTTAGTTGATTAATAATCTATTTTTTTTAATAATAAGTGTTTGATAAGTGAGTGATTATGAAATGGGTATATATAGTTTTTACATGATAAGAGTTTATTGTTTGTAATCCACCAAAAAAATAAGCTCAGATGCCTTTTTACTGTCATCTTGGCTTATTTTTCACGGTAAAACATCTCAAAGTAGCTTATAATCTACCATTTTCCAGATGTATTTAAATAAATTTAGAAATAACCGAAGGGCGAAAAACCCCAAAAAGTAATATTTGTCCGGGTTGGGTGGGAATAAGAAAGCAATTTTTCGTAGGGATAGGAAGTTCTAGCTTCCTCCCTGGGCGGAAGTGAGAAAGATGCTGCTTACTACAAACATGACGTTTGGATCGGGAACTTAGAATAATTTTACATTTTATTTTTAATTTTAATTTTCTTGGGCTGTGTTTGTTGGCAATTCCAAAATAATGTTGGGTCTGAACTAAATTTTTACTTAACTATGACCTGGGTCAAAAAGAAAATAGTTTAAAAACCCCACTTCAAATATGACCTGGGTGTTGCCAAACTTAAAACTAGTTTTTAGAACTTGTTTTTAAACCACGCTCACTAAGAACTTGTTCTTCGGAGTTGAGGTAAGCGTATGAACTATAATTTCCAGGTATTGCTACCCACTTTACCCAGTAAAACGATAATATCTAAATGCACACAGATGAAAAAAAAAATAACAATAATTAATGCCCAGATACCATTTCATAGAAAATAGAAGCTGTTGCTCTTGAGCTTATCAGGGCAATAACAATCTCTTTCCATAAAGAATAACAAATCATCAGTCTATAAAAGTCAATACAATATCAATATTTTCAATATCTTAGAATAGTTAAAGGTGTACATGCTCCTTTCTTCTATTACAGATATATCAATATCAATGTATAACAACAATAATACGCCGATCTATATCAGAAACACAAGCTGGCTAAGCTCCAAATAAGTGCCTGCAAAGAACAATCCTAAAAACATCAAGAACGCCCCCAGTTGGCAGATATTTAAAGCTAATTATGTTGGAATTTTCAATGTTATTTGAAAATAAGAATGTGCATGGTTACGACAACTGCAGGAACAAATCCATTTGAAGCCTCTACAAATATGCGGAAACCCATGCAATTTGAGCAGAGAAAAGAAAGTAACCTCCTTTGAATTCTATCCCCCAAAAGAAGTAATCTCCTGGAAACTACCTTAACGTTATCTTTGTGTTGATTAAATTTCAGAATGATAATACTACCCTGCACGGCTGCACCTAGCAATCGAAAAAATTCTGCAGATATTGGGCCAAATATTGTCTTAAGAAAAAAATATATCAAGTCCCTTGGTTCAGGTGTTGAAACGTTGTGTCCTAAGTTCGCTATAACAGCCTGAAAAAGTATGGCAAACTGTGAAGTCTTGTGAGATAGTCATCAAGAGGAGAGTGTAGAAGGTGTACATAACAATACAGATTATGTACAAAGTACGTTCTTCAAAGCAACAATTAACAGATCCAAGAAAACGTTACCTTAGAAAATAATATATTGACTTATCCTCCTCAGAGTGCTAATTAGCCTGTCAAAATAGAGCACCATGTGATCAAAAAATGGCATGAGAAGTATCTACATGAATGTGTGTGATTCTAAAATAACATGTTGTTTTTCAGAAAAATAAAATAAGCTTGATTGTCCATTATGTAAGTTAAAGCTCGACATGATAAAGCTAAAACAAGATCATGCATCCAAATAATCCTAAAACTCATAGTTCAAGAAACCACCGCTTTATGAGGCATATCAAAGGCCCAATCCCCATTATTGTAATGATTTTTGAATTGCTGAAGGTGCTTGCCTAACAACAGAAACATTAGCATTTCTTTTACATATTGGAGGAAAGACAAAGAGTATCAAGTTTACTTACAGTGCTATATGGGGCAAAAATGCCCTTTACGACTTCAAAGATCTCGTCAATCGGCTTTGCTGCATCAATCTAAGAAGAATAATCAATCACTAACTGCACAAGTACATAAAAGGAAGCACACTGCTTAAATTCTAACCGCAAAATCATAGTCGAATTAAACTACATCCAAATCAAGCACAATATGCATGATTAATAGTTATGTTTTCACATTTCCTCAGGCACAATATGCATGATTTAATCGTCATGATTTCGAATTAAAATTCTACTTCCAAATCAAGCACGATATGCATGATTTGAAAATAATGCTTTCAAATTTCTTCAGGCATCTTTTAATCAACTAATGATGAGAACAAATGACATAAAACTGCAGAAAAGAAAATGAAAGTTTCTAGTAACTGTTGTTTGATATTATATTAACAATTTAATAATACTGCTCCATCAAAAGATGTGTGCACTTGATATTTTTGAGAAAATAATATATTAATATAATAATGTTGTTCCGTCATAAGATGTGTGCGCTTGATATTTTATAGAGAATAATCTATTAGATGCTAGTACTTTTGGAGGAGTTTTGTAGGAATGCAATTTACCTTCCGGACCTTTCCCTTTGAATTGTAATACTCAATTACAGGTAAACTGGATTCCAGAAAAACGTTAAACCTCTTTCTTATGGTATCAATATTATCATCGTCTCTTCCCTACAAAAATATCAAACTTAACTTATATTTGAATAATTCATATAAGGACAGGACATTCCGGCAAGAAAAATTAATACCTGGTTTCGATTTAAAAGACGTCGCTCCATCTCTTCCTCTGAGCAATCAAAGAATAATACAAATTCAGGCTCAATGTTCGTCTGCACATATTGAGAAAAAAAACAATATTCAAACACTGAGAAAATTCTGTACAAGCAAAAAAATGAGCTCCTATAGTTTAAACTGTACAGAAAATATTAATGTTTTGCTGGCTTACAACACTTTCAAATGCAGCACGATTTTCTTCATTCCGAGGAAATCCATCAACAAGAAATTTGTCATTCCCGCTTTCTAGCATAGCCCGCTGTAAAAGTTTGATTGTGACCTCAGAAGGAACAATCTTCCCCTCTTTTATCATATTCTGGATCATAGTTCTGAAAAAGCAGAATGGTGATAGACAAAATGAATTTATTCAATTAGGATCGGTTGGTCTAAAACCAGTGAAAAATGTGAATATTGATAATAAGAAAAACAACGTCCAGAGAGAAGAAAGACGCTGAGCAATCAATCATCATACATGAAAATATTATAAACCATATGGTGCTGATAGGGATTGTACATCATTCTCGTAATGGAAAAGGAAAGAAAAAGATGAATACAGTTCAATACCCATTTTCAGAGCCAGACTTGATTTCTGCACGCAGAAGATCACCAGCACTGAGATGGGTGAATCCAAAGTGTTGAACAATATTGGCACACTGTGTTCCCTTTCCGCTGCCAGGCCCACCTGTACATAAGATACAAATAAACCAAAAGTTATCATCAGAAGGAAGAAGGCTAGGTTAAGAAGGCTAGGTTATCTTGCCTAGAAAAGAAAATTGGCCTTTTTCTGCAGGGGAACAAAGATGAGTTTACCAGTAGACGTAGGCCTACTACAAACATAGAACGTAGGCAAATAAAAAACAAAACAAACTAAAAATATTAGAAGAATAAGCTGTAATATGTGCATCAAGTTGTAACACATTTCTGACTCTAGATAAAGATAAAATTATATGTTAGCAATATGTCTATATGCACTTGAGAATGAAATTAAGCCTTCTGCTCCACAGCATTTTGATGGGAAAATACTGTGACGATGATAACTGACAAGTGACAACAGAATCGAGTGGCAAAACTACAAATAAGGAGACAAAGTAAATGAGGTACATGCCTAAACCTGCACGGATGGAGCAAAATCACATTTGGAGGGGAAGTAATAGTCATTTGTGTTGCCCACAACTCTTAATCTTCCATCCTAATAGTCCTCAGAGAAGTCTTAATACTTCTTAGATTCACCATGGAAAAGAAAGCTTAATCTTCTATCCTAACGCTTAATCTTCTGGCCGAGAAGTATAGCCTTTTAAAGTGTTTTACGAAACTAACTTATGAATGAAGGAAAAAGTATTTAATGAACTATTGATGCAGAATAGCTTGGAAGATTTGATTTGATGCAGTTAGGAACTTAGTATTAGATAAATTCATTAGGATTTTATTATACATTTTCCTTTTCAGTTAGATTGATTTTATCTTTGAGAATAGTTTAGTTAAATATTTGGTTTTCTATGTCAAGCTATTTATTTTATTTTATCAGTTAGCACGTTTGATGCACTTCTATAAATAATCAGCCCATTTGGCAAGGGATTAAGGGAAGGGTTAAGGGGGTCTAACCCCTCTTTAACAATCCAAATGGGTTAATTTGGTCAAAGGGTTAACAAGCCCTTTACAAAGGTTAAAGTTAGTTAACCCCTCATTTAGAGGGGTTAACAAATCCGCCTAAAGAGGAGTATTAAGAGTTACTCCATCTCGAAATAAAAATTAAAACTTTAAAAAAGAATATATTTTAGGATATTTCATGGCAACTAGGCTCCTTAACCCTTTTTTTATATGCCAAATCCAAAAAACTTACTCTTTCATCTTGACCATCAAATCCAAATGGAATTTATTTATTTTTAACCTCTCGTGAAGGGTTAACTAAGTTAGTCCTTCTCGTCAAGAATTTACGAAAAGCATCAGTATTTTGAGGATCCCTAATTGTGAGTTGGGGTTGTTCTGGCGTGTGGGTTGCCAGGGTCTGAAGCCCACTATTATATGTTTTCGTGCCATTTACAAAACCCTATATCTAAGCCCTTCCTCCTCAAATAGTCATTCATCTCCAATCAAAACTAAAGTGTTAAAAAATCATTCATCTCCAATCAAAACTAAAATGAGAAGAGGAAAAAACTAATTTCCAAAGTCAGTCATGCCCAAGGTTTTAAATATCGGTTATCGGGGATTTATCGAACGGCCAAAATCCTTATCGGATAGCGGAAATCGGGGATATATCGGGGATAAGTAGTATTTATCGGAGTGATATACTGGATGATGTGTATATATAATATAACAATTAAAAAAATGTAATCTAATCATGCTTAATAAAATATAAACATACCAAAATGTAAATCATCATGTTTAGAATCATTAACCAATTGTAGAAAGCGAAACTTGCATCATAGCCTTAAAAAAATATAATGTTAGTCAAAATGGGCCGATAATCCCGATAAAAAGTCTTACTTATCGGCCGATAAGTGCCGATAACGCCGATAAATCACCGATAAACCTAGAAAAACGATAACCGATTAAAAATCCAATTTATCCTAGCGGAGAGCTCCCAAATCCGATAACTCGGCCGATAATATCGATTATCGACCGATATTTAAAACAATGGTCATGCCCCCTCAAACCCAATTCATTTACTCTTGAAGTCAATGTTCTAAAACACAGCTTTTTATTAAGCGTTCAGTCCAAGAACTCATAGTTTAATTAGAATATGCACCAACTAATCAAATTAAAGGACTTGAATTACAGACACACTATTCAATGAGATAAAAATAAAATTCATAAGGACCAGGGTGAGGTGAATTTGAAATTAATAACCAAACTCATACTGAAAAGATGCTAAAGTACCATTAAAGAGATAGATTAACTAATGTTAAAGAGGCACAGGGAAAAAAGAACTTTTACCTAAGACAAAGACCACTGTAATTTTCTTGTCCCCTGGAAAACTCCCAGTAAGATCCTGCAACAAACAAAATCATCATTGTTGTTAATTCATGATATACTAGAATCCTAAACACTTGAGGCCAGTGGCCACACACTATTGAGCAATAATTGGTGAGAAAAGAACCATGGATGACATTTTTGCTCTTATGCAGACCAATATCGAGCTACCTATGATATCCAAAACGTATATTACAAAGTAACATCAAACAGATATTGAATCATACATCGAAGTATTCAGAATTTTCCATCAGATTTAATAAGGTACCAAATTAATATAGGGGGGAAATAATGTTTATGTATACACTCACATGTTGTGTCCTAGCTGGTGCTCAGACCACGGATCATGTCATGTTTTTTGATAGGTCATGTCATGTTTTTTGATAGGTGACTGGAGGAGGGCACCATTACGCGGAAGCTTTCATCTTTTTCTTGTCCGCTGGTAATTTACAAATTCATCTTAACCTTTTTCCCAATATGATTGCAATTTTTTTAAATTATCTATGAACAGGTCCAAATTTAATATTAAGGTAGAAAATTTTCCAACAAACATTGTGATTTCTCCACATACCCGCACATATTAACCTTTTTCCCAATATGATTGCAAACTTTTTGAATTATCTATGAACAGGTCCAAATGGCAACCCTAATAATAAGGTAGAAATTTTTCCAACAAACATTGTGAAATCTCCGCATACCACACATATTAACTTCCGAGATGCTGATCGTTATCCTACATTCTCATTTAAAAATGGCAAGAGAAGATGGGTCATCTTGCTATATCTACTGTACCTTCCAAAAGGAAAACAGATTTCTAAGAGTTGTTTCCTGGATTCACAAGACTATACATCAATTTAGATAGCAAATAAATGATTTTATTATTATTATTATCATCATGAAGCTATTTTATTTTGGGTTCGAAAACGCAAATGACAGTACACTAACCAATAACAACGAGATAAAATAATTAAAAAAAAACCACCTTCATCCCATCGACGACATCAGTCGAAGCTGCTTCTTTGGTGGCCATAGAAGCTGCTTAGGTTTCGTATCTGCAATTGACATTAATAATGTTTAAGGGGGAAATGCAAACTATGGCTTCCTGAAATTAATTTAAAAAAAAATTAAAAATTCAATAGATCATCAAGAACTTGAACTAGGTGATGAGAGATTGTTGAAACCTCGCCAGATCTGTAACTTCAAGAACAGAAATCAAAGGGAAGAGAAGATCTAAGAAGAGGGGAAAAGAATTAGAGATTATAAAAACAAAAACAGAATCAGATCCAGAGAGAGCAGAAGAGATACCTGAGAAATAAATAAATAAATAAAATATTAATCTTTCTCTCTCTTCTTCTACGCGTGTCAGCGGGGGGTAAGAACAGGAGACGCAGAAGGGAATCACGCGGGATCGATTGAGAAAGAAATAAAATGTGAAAAGGGTTTTATTTAGATGTTACTCCCTCAAATCTTCAATAATGCCATATTAGTTTCTCAAATCTGCAATTGCACATTAGTCCCTCAATCCTACGGCTAAATACCCTCAGCTAATTTTTTTTTAAAATGTTATTTGCAATTTACTTTCAAAATCCCAACGTTTTTTGACATTTTGGCACACCCAAGTTTATATATATATTTAATTTTGATATCCTAAAGTTTTATTTTTGGCACTTTGATAGCCCAAAGTTCACACATTTTTCAAATTGTATACCTAAAAGATTCCATATTTTTAATTTTGATACCTTAATGTTCACACGTTTTTCAACTTTGATACCTTATAGTATAGGGTATCAAAATGAAAAAACAAAACTTTGGGGTAACGATGTTTCAAGGATATAACTTTTAGGTATCAAGTTATAATTGTATAGTTTTTTAGGTGTCAAAGTGTCAAAAATTTTGGGATATTAAAGTCAAAAAGACATAAAACTTTAGAATATCAAGTGAAAATAACAATCATAAATAAATAGTATTTTGGTTATTTAGGGACCAAATTGCAAGATACTTTAGGATTTAAGGGAATAATGAGCAATTATTAGGATTTGAGGGAGTAATATGAAATTGTTGAAGATTTGATGAAGGACTAATACCTAAAAACCCATATATGAAAGAAAGAGAAGTTGCGGCTAAATACTAGAAGTTTACAACATTTTTAATTAAAGCTTTTTTGCCAAAGCATACCTTACAGTTTATCTTATTTTTAACTTTGGTACACAAAATATTTTTTTCTCCAGAAATATCCCAAAAGTTGAGCAAACTTCAGCTTTGATACCACAAGTTTTAACAAAAGTTTTAACTTTCATCCCAAATTTCAAAAAAAATTAGCAAAATATTTAAGTTCGGGTTATCAACTTTCAAGTTTTCCTAACTCTCAGGTTTTTTTTTGGTAAAAGTCTGAGGTGTCGAAGTTAAATATTATTCAAGTTTTGATTATTCTCTCAGTTCAATTGATTGTGAATAGAACCTCTATGCTACTTCCTAGTTGCAGATAGATCCTCCATAGTTCTTTTTGTGGCAAAGCATACCTCTATGCTACTTCCTAGTTGATTTTCTGAATTCATAAAAACGTTGATAAAGCCCCTTTAGGGGAGGGGTGTGGGTTTTGGGATTTGGATCATCTACAGATCTACTCATCAATAGTGTCTTCTAATATTTGCTAATACATCTCCACCTTTCATTTTGTGGAACCATATTTTATTTTGTGCTTATCCACAAAATAAAAGATGGAGATGCATTAGCAAATGTTAGGAGCTATTATTGATGAGTAGAGGATCTCAATCCTGGGGGGAGGGGGTTGGTGGGGATAAGGTTCCATTCTCACATCGGTAAATAGTCTATTCACATAGAGGTAGGATCAGTTGGGTTGAGCCTGACATGTGACCTCGCCCTCTTGAGTTTCTATTAGGGACTAGGGCCAACTGGGTCAGTGTGAGTTTGCTCAGGGATGGTGGCCCCGGTGTGGGCGTGAACGAAGACCGGTCCACGACTCGCATAGGTCCGGGTCAGGTCCAACCTGACCCATGCCGGTTTGAGTCGCAGGTCGACCTATGAGTTTGTCATTTCTTTTTCTTTTTTTAATTACTGTTATTTGATTATATTTCTTGTATTAATATTTATCTAATCATGTTTAATTTACTTTTTAATTTTTTAAAACTCTAAATGCTAAGATGGATGATGTTTATTGTACCATCCGTTAACGTCTCATATTTCAAACATATACTTAAACTATGGGATCTTTCATACTCTATATTCTTTCTCTTCTTAACTTTGTTTTATTTATTTATTTTATATGTACATTTTATAAAATGTGGAGTTATGATAGTTGTTAGTCCACCGATCTGACCAACACGGGTGACGGGCTAAACGAAAGTGGGTCGGACCAAGCACATTGGTACTGGGCCTACCTCGAACTCGTCTGGCATGTCGTCGGGGTGGAGCCTGGATCAGATCACACCCGATAATATTTGGTCCAGATCAGGTTGAGCTTGGTTGATGGGCCGATCTGGCCAATGCCCGAATCCGGATCCTCTCCTTATGAATCTTTCCTAATATTTCCTCATAAGTCATCCTAGCTTTTCATTTCATGGTCGACGGCCAAGATAAACTTTTTTAGAGTGAGAGGTTGGGAGAGGTAGGAGAGATCTTGGTCGTCGATCATGAAACGAAAGGTCAGGATTGCCTTATGAGGAAATATTAGGAGAGATTCATGAGGAGAGGATCTCAATTCCCAATGCCCCACCCCTATTTCGCACAAAACAGAACTATAATGGCGGTCTTTCCACAATTGAGTTATAGTCCACGGTGTATTAGCAATTAACCCATAAAAAATTGTGTGTGTGTGTGTGGTGGGGGGGGGTCCAATTCTTGTTTATTTCCCTAAATTCATCTCCTAAGGCCCTCTTCGGATCCCCCCCGGCGCCGCCGCCGTCACCGGCGGACCCGAAAAAGCTCTCCTCCTGGTCCTCCTTGTTGGCCCTTTTATTTTGATGATGTTTTAACAAATAATTTATGACTAATATTGTTTGTCTAGTGTTTGTGTTTTCTTATTTATTCTAGACAAACAATGTGTTGGAGGTTGGATAGATTGCGTCACAATAATCATATCAAATGGAGGTTGGCGGAATATCTGTATGAAGCCTTACAATTCAAGTTGAAGATCCAAGTTCAAGCTTCATCCGCAAGTTCACCAAGAAGAGCTTATTGAAGATTACTGCTTGGTATATTAGTTTAGGTTTATGCTTTGTGTGCTTATGCTTTAAGCTCAAATGGTGCACGTACACGTTTTCTTGATTTATTGACTATTATACATCCATTTGAGATAATAGGACCCGAAAAAGCTCTCCTCCTGGTCCTCCTTGTTGGCCCTTTTATTTTGATGATGTTTTAACAAATAATTTATGACTAATATTGTTTGTCTAGTGTTTGTGTTTTCTTATTTATTCTAGACAAACAATGTGTTGGAGGTTGGATAGATTGCGTCACAATAATCATATCAAATGGAGGTTGGCGGAATATCTGTATGAAGCCTTACAATTCAAGTTGAAGATCCAAGTTCAAGCTTCATCCGCAAGTTCACCAAGAAGAGCTTATTGAAGATTACTGCTTGGTATATTAGTTTAGGTTTATGCTTTGTGTGCTTATGCTTTAAGCTCAAATGGTGCACGTACACGTTTTCTGCTTATGCTTTAAGCTCAAATGGTGCACGTACACGTTTTCTTGATTTATTGACTATTATACATCCATTTGAGATAATAATAATGGTGCACGTACACGTTTTCTTGATTTATTGACTATTATACATCCATTTGAGATAATAATATGTTTTCGGATTATTGACTTAATATAACTAGTTTACATCTTTTATAAAGTCTATAAATCCATTTAAAAGAAGTTTCAAACTTCTTTGAACTTGTTTTGTCAAAATCAAGTTTTAATAAGTTCATGTCCGTGCATGTTTTGGCAAAACAGATGAGTTTTCACAATTGGGAAATGCAATTTGAAAAATTTCTTCGTTTACATGTTTATCTTCATATATAAAAACATTTTTCCAATTTTTACTAATGTTGGAGTTGTTTTGTTGTTTTCAACTGAATTTACAAAAACAAGTTTTCAGTAGTTTTTCAGAAAATATAATATCTATGTTCAAATAATTATTTCTCACAAATGGGGAGTGATATTTAAGAAATTCTTTCACTAACATGTTTATATACATGTTTAGAAACTTCCATCGAAATTTTATGATTTTTAGAGTTGATTTACTATTTTTTAATTGATTTTACATAGCTAGATACACATTTTGAGGTTTGTGCATGTTCTGTGAACAGTGCTGGTCGACCAGTGCACTGTTCATGGTTGACCGAACAGTGTACCATTGCAATAACAGCTAGTTTTTTTAGATTTTGGATTTTTATATTTTTCTTGGGTTTTGGCCTATTGTTTTGAGTAACTATAAATACCCTTCAACCCTCAACACTTATAACTACTTAAGGAAAGTTTTAAACAAGTTTACAAATGTTTTAAGTGTGTTTAAGTTTGTTTTTGAGTGTGTTTTACAAGAGTTTTTGTGAAGAAACTTTCACAAGAGGAGGAGATCATTTCTTTGGTGTTTGGACTTCAATCTCATCTCTCTCCCTCTTGATTTTCTTTCACAAGAGGAGGAGATCATTTCTTTGGTGTTTGGACTTCAATCTCATCTCTCTCCCTCTTGATTTTCAGAGAAGTTTATGTTGAACTCATCTCTAGCTTTATTTATATATTTGTTTGATTATAAATTTCATTAAGCTGGATTACTTATTGAGTTTGTATTTCACTTTTCTCATTGATTACACACACACCCCCCTTGAGCTTTTAGTATTATCAAATATTGTATACATTTGGGTTGTGGGTTGTATCTTTAAGAGTGTGCTTAATTGAGTTCTCATCTTGTTAGAGAACAAACTATTTGTCTTTGAGCTTTCATTGTGAGATCACTTTGTATTACACATTTACACTGAGATGAGTGTGTGGTGAGGACGTAGTCGATACCAAGAGGAGTGACGTTGATAGTAAATCCTAGTGAGAGGTAGTAAAGCCGAGCACTTAAAGGAGGCGATACGTGAGAACCAACACTTGAGGTGGTAGTTTGTGTGGTTACATTGTGAGTGATTATAAACGTTGATTGGTGAGCGTTGAAAACTGATATTGTGAGGTGTAAATATTTTCGGGTGAACGTCGAAAACCCGGTTGTGATAGTGGATTTCTCCCTGGGAGTTGGGAGCGGAGACGTAGGTCGGAAGGACCGAACTCCGTGATCATACCGTGTGTTTGATTTTTTGCACTATCTCATTTACATATAGTTTCATGTTTATATTGTTCTTGGTTTAATTTCATATACTTGCTTATATCTCATTGAATATCTTATTTGTAAGAGTAATTAATTAATAAGTTTTTAATGAGTATAAAATTGAATTAGATTAGCATTTACCATATTCACCTCTTCTAGGGTCCTAACACTCCTCTGATCCGCCACCAAACCCAAACACGACCCAATAAAGTATTCGGATTCAATCTCAGTTAAGACCCTCACCCAATAACCATGGACGATGACGACGACGACGACGGCTGGAACTAGCACTCGCGACTTCTATCTCGACGACGACGGCTACTACTGCACCCAATGCGGGTCCCAGTCCCAAGACCTCATCCACACCCAGACTGCTGACGAGAACCTCCTCGCTGACGGCACCCTCTACAACATACGCCACACCCGCACCCTCCTCTCGCAAGAATTGGATCGAACACTTGGCAGGCGCCCGGCGGCAAAGCAAGAAAATGAGGATTTCTTCGGGGTCGGGGATGATGGGTTGTCGGAGTCGAGGGGTTTCGGGTCAGGTTTGGTTTCAGATAGGGAGGAGCTCATGGATGTGATAAGGTTTAGGTATGTGGAGGGGTTGCAGGTGATGGTGCAGAGGCAGTGCGAGGTTTTGGTGGAGAGGTTTGGGGTGAGTGCTTATGATGTTGGGATTGTGGGGCCCATTTTGTTGAGGTATGTGGCGGAGAGGAGGGTGCTTGCGGATGATTAGCCGAAGAAGGCGATTGAGGAGTCAGAGGTCATGGTTGAGGCTGCGGGGTTGACTCGGGTTGGTGAAGAAGGTAATGCTGAGAAAGGCCATTTTTATTATTGATAGTATTGTTTGATGTTATGTGATGGTTGTAGGTTGATTGAATATTGAATTTGGAAGCATAAGATTGCTGCTAGTTCAATCCAATTTCATGTTGTGCTGCTTGATTTTTAGTAAAAAGGTATGGCTTAAACTGAAGAATGTCATCTAATTATAAAATGTGATCGCGAAACTTAGGGGAAAGGGTGAGGGTTAGGGGTTATGGTTAGGTTAGAGCACTTGTTGAGGATTTTTGCAACTTTAGATTTAGAAATGGGGTTGATAAGTTTAAAATGACAAATACACTGTTTAGTTGATATATGTTTCATGCTGGGGATGTGGCGTTACCACGTGGGAGTGGGATTAATGCGTCAAGTTTAATGCCCGAAAATTGCACTGGGTATAATCGGATTTATGATTTTAGTTAGATATCCTCTTGCAAAATGCATGTTCAACCAAACAAAAACTTAGTTGGATTTTGTTTTTCATCAAAATCCTCTTTAATGTCTAGCTCTGAATAATATTTCGACCATGACCTTTTCAAAGTCCAATACTTGCTTGAAAATCCTTGGAAATGCCAATCCACAACCAAAACAAGCCCTTATTGAGATACATGAATATTAGTGTTTATTGTTTCCGTTCATCATTTCTGATACTAAGTTCTATAAGATCATAAGGTTAAGCATAAAAATGGACTGTAATTCAATTGTATGCACTATATTATGTTACTCATCTTGTTTTAGATATATCATATACATGAGAAGTTATGGGTGGTGTTGAGCTCATTTTAACTGAAATTCATTACCTGCCTTTACTATAATCTTGAACAACTTGTTAGCTTATATTATTTCCTCATTTAGTGCATTGTTGGCAAACAATTTTAATGTATCTACCATTATTTCGTATGATTTTGCATACTGTTTACTATATAGTAAATAACATCTTTGCATGCTTCTTTATCTATATATGATTTACTAAAATTCCTAGTCCTTTGGTTGCAGAAAAACCCAAAAAGTTTAAGCGCATTCAACCAAAGTATAGATCAGAACCCCACAATGCATATGGTCAGAGAGCCATAATTATATGGCTCCATTCTTTGTGAAGAACGATGCCTTTGTATTCTACGTTGGCTATTTCTTTTTTAGTTTGCCACATTGCAAGAGAGCCAATCCTACCGACGGACATCTTGAAATGGGCGTCAGAGGGAAAACTCCCTTTTCTTGCTGCCTTCATTGAAATGAATCGACGCCTTGAAAAGCCTTCAAGTCCTTGCCCCTTGAGTTTAAGGGCTTTGTTCAGACCTATACAAGTTATTGGAGCAGAACAACTAGAAGCAACAGCTGCTTCTATAGCTCAAGCTATTGGTTTACGCCTTCCTTCTGTGAATTTCTATGCAATTTCTCATCGATATCTCTAGGAGCTTTCCCTTTCGGTAGAGAAGATTCTTCCTCATGCATGTCGTATTTATGAATGGTCACTCCTTGCAGACTTGTGGTTGTTGAGTAAGGTCTCGGGATTTCCAACTCGTGCTTGTGCAATGTCAATTTTAATTGTGGCCATGAGATTGTTATACAATATACAAGGCCAAGGTATGTGGGAGATGAGTCACTCTAAAGTTAGAAATTCTCCTCCAAATGATCAGAAACCCGAAAGGAAATTGTTACATGTTCAAGCTTCGGACTACAGTTGTCAGGAGTTATTTAGCATTCTTGAAGCCACATATGATAAGATCAACACAACTCGTGGTAACTAGTTTCTGCTCAGTTTTGTTTTAGTGTTTATCAATTATTTTCTATAACTTAATTATTGGTGTAGATATCCAAAGTGTTAAATGTTGAGTTGTAAGTTTGTAACTTTTAGGTAGTGTTGAATATCAATGAAAATTTTCTAGTTTATTTATGATCAAGGTTTTAAATGTCGGTTATCGGGGATTTATCGGACGGTCAAAATTCTTATCGGATAGCGAAAATCGGGGATATATCGGGGATAAGTAGTATTTATCGGAGTAATATACTAGCAAATAATAAACAAACATAAGCTTGAAAAATAATATAATGTTAGTCAAAATGGAATAATAAACTAGCAAATAATAAGATAACATCAAGAATGAAGAACCATCTACGCATCTACATAATTATTGTTTAATCATGAGATTCATAAACTAACTTACTAAGTTGATATTTAGTAGTTATGAGCCATTATCAATATCCATAAACAAACATAAGCTAATCACCAATCAACCAAGTTCCAAAAGCAACAAATAGTTCATAATTTGTAAACATTCAAAGAGCAAATCCAAAAGAAAGTAAAAGCTCCAAAATCCTACTTATCGGCCGATAAAGCCGATATTTAGAGCCTACTTATCGGCCGATAAGTACCTTTATCGCCGATAACTCGCCGATAAACCTCAAAAAACGATAACCTATTAAAAATCCTACTTATCCTAAGTTGTATCTTCTCTTCGGAACTTAGCGATCCTCATGGGAGCTTGAGGATAGATGATTCTCATGGTAAATTGAGAATCGAGAGGTAAAACAACACAGTGGAACACAGGTTGAAGCGTGAAACGAGATGACAAGTCGAAGAATCTAAGCATCCGGTTTTTAGCCTGTGAGTCGATTTATACATGTACATGAGTCGACTCATCAGGTTGAGTTGACTCATGCCTGTCATGAGTCAACTCGTGAAACCCAGTCGTTTTGTCAAAAGTTTCTGACCAGCCAACTCATCATTTCATGAGTCGACCCATGTGTCATGAGTTGACTCATATATGCACATGAGTCGACTCATCGAGGGTTTCTTGGTTTGTTTGGGTTTCTGTTTACACGTTTTTTTGTCTGTAGGGTTTGGGCTTGGTTATTTACTACTTTGTCATCTATGTTACACCTATAAAAGGGGTTGTTTAGGGTTTCTAATCAAACAGATGTAATCAAAGAGAGATTCTAATCAAGAGAGATTAGGGTTTAGAGAGATTTGAGAGTTTGTTCTCGATTCTAGTGAGATTGTGAGAGAGGGATTGTAATTTTTTCATACTCATAATCTAGAGAGGATATTTTCCTTCGCCACATACTGAATTATTCTTATGTTTCCGTCATCCTCTTCTCAACCCACTTTTAATAATTCCGTGATCAAAGGTACTCGCACGGAGACTCGTATCAAGTTGGTACCAGAGTAATCAGATCCTATAAAGGAGGCATCCTGTGTATGGTCCTGACTCGATCACAATATAAGAAGCTAGGCGAGATCCTTATTTCATTGGAAAGAGTCCAGAAATTAAGAAAGAAGAAGATGACTGAAGGAGATAGTTCAGTGAGGCTGGATGCATTGGAGAAACAGATGGAGACAATGAGTTCGACTCTCACACAGCTCATCAATATCTTCCAAGAAAAAGACAAAAAGGAGGAATCTTCTTTGAAAGGCAAGAAGAAACTTATGGAGTCCGATCGAGAAGGCGAGGAATCTGATTCTAATAGGGAGGCCATGATTATCAAAACTGTTCTGCATCAAGGGGGTAAGGATTCTTACCAGAATTTGAAGATAGACTTCAAGGTAGAGATTCATGTTTATGATGGGAGTGTCAATATCGAGAGGCTTGATGATTGGATCGAGCGGATGGAGACGTATTTTACCCTCTATGGATATTCATCCAAGAAGAAGATTGTGTTCACGACTTTGAAGCTTTCGGGGCACGCGTTGACGTGGTGGAAATCCTACTGTAAGCAGGAGAAGAAGGCGGTATCGTGGAAGAAGTTCAAGGAGCTACTGAGGAAGTAATTCTACCCGGTGGGATTTCTTGAGGAGCGTTGGTACAAGTGGTACGGCTTACGCCAAAGAGTCAATCAAACCGTTCAAGAGTACACTATAGAGTTTCAATAACAGGTGATGGTCCTTAACATTATGAAGGAGTACTCTGTTTTTATGAAGTACATAGCGGGTTTGAGCGATTACATCTGGAAGGGGATGAAGCTGTTCACGGTCGAGACGATTGCAGAGGCGAGCGTGAAGGCTATTGTGTCACGTCCCGCTTCCCAAAATACCCGGAAATCAGAACGTGAACAAGCCCGCGACGTATTAGATCAAGGAGAGTAAATAAAAACATTTCTCCTTAACCTAATACGCTAAGCGTCTGGAAATAATACAATGCAAAAGCACAGGTCCCCGATCATAATCAGTAAGAATATAATGAACAACACAGAATAAAATAATACATATCACAATGAATAACATCCGAGACATAATATTCGGGTCAAACATGCCCTTATACAAATCTGAACAAATGAATACAGAAGAGATACCAAAATACATCGATCAATGAAAAAAGAAGAAACTACAAGGGTAAACTGGAACCATCAAAGAATAGGTTTCGACTCCTTCTACTCCGTGTGCAAGGCACTCCTGCTGAGAATCCCCTGGCTCCTGGCGATCTCCCAGCTGGACCTGTTCTTCCCCTAAGTCTGACGTATACCAGAGAAAACAGGTGTATGGCACACGGCAAGACCCGACCCCACAAAGAAAATAGAACGAACGAAATCCAATGCGAAAAACGATACAATAACCGAAACAACAAAAGAACGTACAACTGAAATCCACAAATCAACATGAAAACACTACTAAATCATAATAACATAAAGCATCCAAAATCGATGAGGTAACGAGGTCATGCAGCTAGCGATCAGACTAATCATCCAAGTCACAAGGGCATACACTAGATGGAATTAATACTTAAAAATCTACAACAAGAGACGTAGTACGTCGAGCGAAATAATCCAAACAAGGAAACCCTCATGTATATACCATATGTCTCAAATTATAGATAATTAAATATTAATCCCGATCTATGTATGAAAAGAAACACAACCAGCCTATATCTCATAAGAATCATACTTAGCCAAGAATCGAGGTCATGTAACTAACTATCCCATCACTCATCTCAAATAATCAACAATCGCAATATCACTGCTCCTCAGACCCACCCCAGGCCGACACAAGGCGCTAGCGTGAGCCTGGAAAATAATCAATAATCTCGATATCACTGCACCTCAGACCCATCCCAGGCCGACACAAGGCGCTGGCGCGAGCCTGGAAAATAATCACAATCACAATATCTCAACTCCTCAGACCCACCCCGGTGACTACACAAACTTCACCGGCGTGAGCCTAGAAAATAATCAACAATCGCAATATCTCATCTCTTCAGACCCACCCCGGTGACTATACAAACTTTACCGGCGCGAGCCTGGAATATAATCAACAATCGCAATATCTCATCTCCTCAGACCCACCCCGATGACTACACAAACTTCACCGGCGTGAGCCTAGAATATACATCAACCATCACAATCGCTCACATGGACCAAGACTTCTCACCCCAATTCTCGTAATTCCAAGTCAACTACACACGAGATTCTAGACACCCCAATTCTCGTAATTCCAAGTCAACTACACACGAGATTCTAGATCCTAACTGTGTCATACAGGTCACTATAGTCATAAACTCCTAATAAAGATTCTAGATCCTAACTGTGTCATACAGGTCACTATAGTCATAAACTCCTAATAATTCTCAATCACGACATGGAACAATCAATGCAACTAATCATGTACAATAATATCATAGCATATCAGATAATCAAAATAAGAAATATAAATCATAAACAACATCTACATAATTCAGAAAATAATCTTTTTCTAAATTAATTCATTTTTAATTAACTCGCTTAACAATTAATCTAAACTATTTTTTTTTAATTCTTTTAAATTATTATAATTATCTAAAAATGATTCTTTTGCCGAACTAAATTCTTTTAATTCATTATAATTATTCTACAAATGCTATTTATCATATTACTCTAATATATTTTAATATTCTTCATCAACAATCCACACAGGTAATTATAATTCATATTTTACAGAAAAATAGTTCTGAGCAAGCGGGATCTTGCCTCGGGTTCGTGGGCGTGAACGGAGCAGCGGGGAGCGGCGGTGGTTCAGATCTGAGAGGAGGATTAGTGGTCAACGGGGGCTGACCGCGGGGAGGTGGTGCGGGCCGTGGTGTTGGGAACGGAGGGCAGCGATGACGGGTCGACGGGTCGCGAGTGGATGACGATGGCAGATCTGATCTCAGGGAGAAGGAGGGCGGAGACAGAATAATTATCTATAATTAAAAACGTACATGTTGTGCTATTACAACAATCGATACGAAATAGTCAAAATATACCCATATTGTATAATTAAACAAGAATAATTAATAATAAAAATATTTCTACTTAAATTTAAAATTAAATAATTATGAGACAATTACGTACACAGTAAAACGTACTAGTTATGCTAATACGATAGATAATATGTAACAATAGAAATAATACAATAAATTATACCAAAAACACGTAATTAATAATACCATGTATTATATGAAATAATTTGTAATAATATTAATAATACAATATATTATTTAAAATATTACGTAATAGTACCGACAACACAACAAATTAATTCTAGAAATTTTTACCGCACAAAATAAATTTATAAATACCAAAATCATTTAAATAAATATATAATCAGATTTTTAAATTATAGAAAATTATAAGAATTCGAGAAAAATACAAATACTCTTTTAAAAATCATAATTAAATATTTTAAAATACTAAAAAATTATTTTAAGTAGTATCAAAATTTCATGATCCTTACATTCTACCCCCTTTAAAACAAATTCCGTCCTCGGAATTAAAAGAACCCAAGGACAGATATGGATAGATATCCATTAGAAGACGAGACAAGAAACAAGAAACAGTGAAAAGTTAAGAGACAAGAAACAACAGGAAGATCCGGAGTCAAAAGAGATTAGGTAGGGACTAAGACGTAATCTATCGAGATGATAGGATAAGGGCTAGCTATAGTCTTACGGATGAAATATGATATGCATCTAAATTATCCATTATATTCTCACTAGTGGAAACTCGGGACCGTGATCGGGACCGTGACCTGCATTGGCACCAAAAAAACCTGTCACGCCCCGCTTCCCAAAATACCCGGGAATCGGAACGTGAACAAGCCCGCGACGCCAAAATACCCGGGAATCGGAACGTGAACAAGCCCGCGACGTATTAGATCAAGGAGAGTAAATAAAAACATTTCTCCTCAACCTAATACGCTAAGCGTCTGGAAATAATACAATGCAAAAGCACAGGTCCCTGATCATAATCAGTAAGAATATAATGAACAACACAGAATAAAATAATACATATCACAATGAATAACATCCGAGACATAATATTCGGGTCAAACATGCCCTTATACAAATCTGAACAAATGAATACAGAAGAGATACCAAAATACATCGATCAATGAAAAAAGAAGAAACTACAAGGGTAAACTGGAACCATCAAAGAATAGGCTTCGACTCCTTCTACTCCGTCTGCAAGGCACTCCTGCTGAGAATCCCCTGGCTCCTGGCGATCTCCCAGCTGGACCTGTTCTTCCCCTAAGTCCGACGTACACTAGAGAAAACAGTGTATGGCACACGGCAAGACCCGACCCCACAAAGAAAATAGAACGAACGAAATCCAATGCGAAAAACGATACAATAACCGAAACAACAAAAGAACGTACAACTGAAATCCACAAATCAACATGAAAACACTACTAAATCATAATAACATAAAGCATCCAAAATCGATGAGGTAACGAGGTCATGCAGCTAGCGATCAGACTAATCATCCAAGTCACAAGGGCATACACTAGATGGAATTAATACTTAAAAATCTACAACAAGAGACGTAGTACGTCGAGCGAAATAATCCAAACAAGGAAACCCTCATGTATATACCATATGTCTCAAATTATAGATAATTAAATATTAATCCCGATCTATGTATGAAAAGAAACACAACCAGCCTATATCTCACAAGAATCATACTTAGCCAAGAATTGAGGTCATGTAACTAACTATCCCATCACTCATCTTAAATAATCAACAATCGCAATATCACTGCTCCTCAGACCCACCCCAGGCCGACACAAGGCGCTGACGCGAGCCTGGAAAATAATCAATAATCTCGATATCACTGCACCTCAGACCCACCCCAGGCCGACACAAGGCGCTGGCGTGAGCCTGAAAAATAATCACAATCACAATATCTCAACTCCTCAGACCCACCCCGGTGACTACACAAACTTCACCGGCGCGAGCCTGGAAAATAATCAACAATCGCAATATCTCATCTCCTCGGACCCACCCCGGTGACTACACAAACTTCACCGGCGCGAGCCTGAAATATAATCAACAATCGCAATATCTCATCTCCTCAGACCCACCCCGGTGACTACACAAACTTCACCGGCGCGAGTCTGGAATATACATCAACCATCACAATCGCTCACATGGACCAAGACTTCTCACCCCAATTCTCGTAATTCCAGGTCAACTACACACGAGATTCTAGATCCTAACTGTGTCATACAGGTCACTATAGTCATAAACTCCTAATAATTCTCAATCACGATATGGAACAATCAATGCAACTAATCATGTGCAATAATATCATAGCATATCAGATAATCAAAATAAGAAATATAAATCATAAACAACATCTACATAATTCAGAAAATAATCTTTTTCTAAATTAATTCATTTTAAATTAACTCGCTTAACAATTAATCTAAACTAATTTATTTTTCAAAATAAATTCTTTTAAATTATTATAATTATCTAAAAATAATTCTTTTGCCGAACTAAATTCTTTTAATTCATTATAATTTTTCTGAAAATGTCATTATCATATTACCATGATATAATTAATATTCTTCAACAAACAATCCCACACAGATAAATACATCACAATTAAACTACGCAAACGATTCATAATAATGTAAATATTCAATTACGAAACAAGGAGAGCGGGATCTTGCCTGCGAGACCGTAAAGTAAAATTAGGGTTTTTAAACAAAAATAATTAAAATAACTAATTACAGGTATTTAAAAAGTAATCTAATTACAGAATAATTATCTATAATTAAAAACGTACATGTTGTGCTATTACAATAATTGATACGAAATAGTCAAAATATACCCATATTGTATAATTAAACAAGAATAATTAATAATGAAAATATTTCTACTTAAATTTAAAATTAAATAATTATGAGACAATTACGTACACAGTAAAACGTACTAGTTATGCTAATACGATAGATAATATGTAACAATAGAAATAATACAATAAATTATACCAAAAACACGTAATTAATAATACCATGTATTATATGAAATAATTTGTAATAATATTAATAATACAATATATTATTTAAAATATTACGTAATAGTACCGACAACACAACAAATTAATTCTAGAAATTTTTACCGCACAAAATAAATTTATAAATACCAAAATCATTTAAATAAATATATAATCAGATTTTTAAATCATAGAAAATTATAGGAATTCGAGAAAAATACAAATACTCTTTTAAAAATCATAATTAAATATTTTAAAATACAAAAAAATTATTTTAACTAGTATCAAAATTTTATGATCCTTACATATTGCCATCGAGGGCAAACAGAAGAAGAGCAACGAGACGAAGGGAGATGCAAAACAAGCAGGAGGCAAGTCTGGTGGTTCCAAACCTAAGGAGGAGAAGAAGAGTGATCCAGGAAAAACAGAACTGATTTGTAGTCATTGCGAGAAGACATGACATATCACTGATCAATGTTGGGACAAGTATCTTCATCTCAAGCCAAGGGGGTTGAAGAAGAAAGAGGTGAAAAAGACATACGTGATAGCACAGGGTTCGAAGGAAGTTCCTGGGATGACAGAGCCCAACAACAATCTTAATCTTATGGCGGGGAAGCAGACCACGAAAGAAGACGAAGATCCCAGAGAGCAGCTCTTTGTTCTAAAGTTGCAAGTGAAGACCAGTTTGGTTGATGTCATAGTTGATCCAGGCAGCAAGAAGAATTTGATATCCGATGCCTTAGTTCAGAAGCTGGGACGGAAGACGGTCAAACATCCGAAACCCTATCCATTAGGGTGGATTCAGAAGGAGACGGGACTGAGTGTGGTTGATCAATGCACTTTTAGATTTGCGCTCCACGAGTCATATATTGATGAGGTCACGTGCAACGTCGTTCCATTGGATGTTTGTCAGGTTATACTGGGCAATCCGTACTTGTGAGATAGATACGTGATCTACGAAAGGCGAGCTCAGAAGTACACATTCATCAATGATGGTGAAAAGTTCATATTTCGTTTGGCGTTTCTTCTGAAGGAGACAAACTTGGTGACGGTGACGCGAGTGAAGAGGCTAGCATCGAAAAGGAGTTGCACGATGAGGTGATGAACGAAGAAGTCGTTTCCAGTTGTACGTTGATATCAGGTTCCTAGCAAAGCCAAGTGGTGCGAAAAGGATGGAGGAGCTCACGAGTTTTCTCAGCTAAAGTTTTAACTTGAATGGGACTTCAAGTTCTTAAAGGTGGGGACTCATGATACAGGTGTATCTTCTCTTTGGAACTTAGCAATCCTTATGGGAGCTTGAGGATAGATGATTCTCATGGTAACTTGAGAATAAAGGGGTAAAACAATACAGTGGAATACAGGTTGAAGCGTAGAACGAGACGGCGAGTCGAAGAATCGAATCATCCAGTTTTTAGTCCGTGAGTCGACTCATACATGTACATGAGTCGACTCATCAGGTTGAGTCGACTCATCAGGTTGAGTCGACTCATCAGGTTGAGTCGACTCATCAGGTTGAGTCGACTCATGCCTGTCATGAGTCGACTCACGAAACCCATCCGTTTTGTCAAAAGTTTCTGACCAGTTAACTCATCATTTCATGAGTCGACTTATCGAGGGTTTCCTGGTTTTTTGGGGTTTTTGTTTACACGTTTTCCTGTGGGGTTTGGGCTTGGTTATTTATCACTTTGCCATCCACGTTGTTACACCTATAAAAGGGGTTGTTTAGGGTTTCTAATCAAGCAAATATAATCAAAGAGAGATTCTAATCAAGAGAGATTAGGGTTTAGAGATAATTAAGAGTTTGTTCTCGATTCTAGTGAGATTGTGAGAGAGGGATTGTAATCTTTTCATACTCATAATCTAGAAAGGATATTTTCCTTCGCCACATACTGAATTATTCTTGTGTTTTTATCATCTTCTTCTCAACCCACCTTTGATAATTCCGCGATCAAAGGTACTCGCACGATGACTCGTATCAATTAAGCTTCAAGGTAAGATTGTATGTCATGTCATAGTAACAATTTGCATCTTTATCGTCACATCAATTTTTGTTATATGAGAACCGACTCACTTTTTTTTCTTTTGTCAACAGATTATTTACAAGACTTGCCCTCTTACCTCAAACATTGCAAGGATGTTATTTTTTGTCGGTGCAACAAAATATTATGAGGAGGATAAGTTAATTAAAATATTATGGGATATGTATGAGAAAGAGGAGGTATGTCGTCCTACCATCATTTCTAGGTGTAATTTTAGCAGTTAATCTCCCGGACACCATTTTTTTAACCTCTACCTTGTTAGGCCGTTTTCATGGGAGAAATGAGTTGTTGCACGCTTTTTGTGTGCTTACTTGGCTGGAGTTTATCTTTTTTGGGTAGCGGAGGACGAGTAAGATTCAATCAAAAGAAACTGAAAGTAGAATCCTGTCTTGGCAATAAATGGTTGTTATTACTGCCTGTGCTATTTTGCTTGTCAAAAGAGAACGAACACCTTGTTAGGAACAAAAACCCACAGAGCACCCAGCACGAGCCTTAAAATAAATGATCATCCAACTTCTAATTTTTATTGGGGCGCGTTCTGGATTTTCTAAGACACGTCAAAATCCCCTTCCTCCCGACATGATTCTTTATAGAGGACGACTCTCTATAGGATATTTTTTTTGATTCAAAATAGATGATATATAATTGAGAGAATGATCATTCTTTTTGGTGCATAGTACAGTCACCCCCGTAACATCACTGTTTTGAACTTATTGTTCCTGCGTTTTCATTGGTTGAAAACAACAATACTGCAGGGAGTCTGTGCGATTAACCCTATTTTTAAACATGTCTCTTTCATTCCAGTCTTTCTCTGTACGAGTTGGTCACTAATCTTTATGTACTCCAATCTTATTTTGTTCAGACCTATACAAGTTATTGGAGCAGAACAACTAGAAGCAACGGCTGCTTCTATAGCTCAAGCTATTGGTTTACGCCTTCCTTCTGTGAATTTCTATGCAATTGCTCATCGGTGCTGCTTCTATAGCTCAAGCTATTGGTTTACGCCTTCCTTCTGTGAATTTCTATGCAATTGCTCATCGGTATCTCAATGAGCTTTCCCTTCCGGTGTTTACGCCTTCCTTCTGTGAATTTCTATGCAATTGCTCATCGGTATCTCAATGAGCTTTCCCTTCCGGCAGAGAAGATTCTTCCTCATGCATGTCGTATTTATGAATGGTCACTCCCTGCGGACTTGTGGTTGTTGAGTAAGGTCTCGGGATTTCCGACTCGTGCTTGTGTAATGTCAATTTTAATTGTGGCCATGAGATTGTTATATAATATACAAGGCCAAGGTATGTGGGAGATGAGTCACTCTAAAGTTAGAAATTCTCCTCCAGATGATCAGAAACCCGAAAAGAAATTGTTACATGTTCAAGCTTCGGACTACAGTTGTCAGGAGTTATTTAGCATTCTTGAAACCACATATGATAAGATCAACACAACTCGTGGTAACTAGTTTTTGCTTAGTTTTGTTTTAGTGTTTATCAATTATTTTCTATAACTTAGTTATTGGTGTAGATATACAAAGTGTTAAATGTTGAGTTGTAAGTTTGTAACCTTTAGGTAGTGTTGAATATCAATGAAATTTTCTAGTTTATTTATGCATATGAGTTACGGCTCTACCCAAAATTCAGCCATGGTTAGAAACAATATAAATGTTCAAAAGTTACTAGAAGACAAATGTTTTTGAGAAACTTCCCATGATCTTTTATATGAGAACTGACTCACTTTTGTTTCTTTTGTCAACAGATTATTTACAAGACTTGCCCTTTTACCTCAAACACTGCAAGGATGTTATTTTTGCTGGTGCAACAAAATCTTATGAGGAGGATAAGTTAATTAAAAGATTATGGGATATGTATGAGAAAGAGGAGGTATGTCGTCCTACCATCATTTTTAGGTGTAATTTAGCAGTTATCTCCCAGACACCATTTTTTAACCTCTACCTTGTTAGGCTGTTTTCATGAGAGAAATGAGTTGTTGCACGCTTTTTGTGTGCTTACTTGGCTGGAGTTTATCTTTTTTGAGTAGCGGAGGACGAGTAAGATTCAATCAAAAGAAACTGAAAGTAGAATCTTGTCTTGACAATAAACGGTTGTGATTATTGCCTGTGCTATTTTGCTTGTCAAAAGAGAACGAACACCCCTTATCTGGAAGTTTCAGGGACCCGACTTCTATTATGCTTGTTTATATTTGTATTAGTTACGAAAAGTAGTAATTTCCTGTCTATTGTTGTTAGTATGATCCATCCTTTCCTTTTATTTTTATGTTGTCTTGGAAAAGCACAAGGCACGATATGGAGGAAGAGTATGGAGGGTAGCGCAGTATCACACTTGAGATGAATCTGTAGGGTAAAGAAAAAATGAGACACAAATACAAGAGTAAAGGTTAAAACCAAATTCAAGGCTTTAATTCTATCTACTTCTGATAGTGAGAAAATTGACTGTAAGTAGTAGACAGATTTTTGTTTCAATAGAGATCAGTCTTGGACATTCTAATGTTCAAAGGTTGTTCATATGTGGATATTAACTTAAATTCACTTTCATGAGTGGAGAAGTTTAGCACAGACACAACCGAGGTTAATTAGGTCTAGGTTAATCTAGTTAAGTTAGATTAGGAACAAAAACCTACAGAGCACCCAGCACGAGCCTTAAAATAAATGATCATCCAACTTCTAGTTTTTATTGGGGCGCGTTCTGGATTTTCTAAGACACTTCAAAATCCCCTTCCTCCCGACATGATTCTCTATAGAGGACTCTCTATAGGATATTTTTTTGATTCAAAATAGATGATATATAATTGAGAGAATGATTATTCTTTTTGGTGCATAGTTCAGTCACCCCCGTAAAACAATGAAACTACATGGGTAGTGAGTTCAAAACAACAATACTGCAGGGAGTCTGTGCGATTAACCATTTTTAAACATGTCTCTTTCATTCCAGTCTTTCTCTGTACGAGTTGGTCACTAATCTTTATGTACTCCTATCTTCTTTTAGGACGATGGTGAAGAGGCAAAGAGACCAAGACACGGGGCATCAACGAACGGTTCATGGCATCCCTTTTAGGACGATGGTGAAGAGGCAAAGAGACCAAGACACGGGGCATCAACGAACGGTTCATGGCATCCCAAGAAACACGAGGAAAATAACACATGCACAGAGACACAAATGGATGAAGATATCATAACAGAGAATAATCCAACAAAACCTTTGGATCATAATATAGAGAAGCAGGAGGAAAATAACCCGGGCACAAAGACACAAATGGATGAAGATATCACAACAAAGAATAATCCAACTAAACCTTTGGATCATACTATAGAGAAGATAAAACTCGAAATGGAAGAGAATGGATTTGAGTACCTTCCTCCTAAAGCTCACCCAAAGATTGGGTATATTCACTATAGGAGGCAGAAAATAGACGGTAAGCTTGTTTGTGTTTGTCATGCTGATTACTATGTATTGCTTCGGGCTTGTGCTAAGCTTGTTGAAGTTGATGCTCAGACTATGCATCGATGTGTGCTTAGTCTCGAGCGGAGGCTTGAGTGGATCGACAAGCGAATTGATGAAGTTCTTTGTCATCAAGATAGTGGTCCTTGATTATTTTGTTAAGTTTGCGAGTGTGTTTTAGCTTTTTTGCACTTTTATTCTCTTATTTGTGTGTTCTATAGGTAAGGAAAAGAAAGTTGTTGTTCAATATTTTGTGTTTGATTCATCTTTTATGCGTTAATAGCTATTCTTATCATGAGGAAACAAATGAAGGGAATCCAAAGGAGACAAATCCCCATCTACCACCTCTACTATAAGCGGGGTCACTTCTTACATCGTAATCATACTGTATTTTTACTTAATTAGCATACCTCTTGAATCTCGTATCATGTATCGATATAAGTTACAATCTGATATTGTTGAACTGTGTTTATATCATTCATGCTCGAGCTTGCAATGAAAATCTCATTCGCTAATTACCAGTTTAGTCTCTCTTTTACTCTAATGGTAACTTTCATGCGCTTCTCTCTTCATCCACGAAATTCAAATAGCACGCGCAAACCACGTGCATAAGTTGGCGTATCAATTCAAAATCACGGATGCCATCATGCACTATCACTGCTCGAGCCCTGAGATGAGAGCACCGCTCTCGACCGTTATCTCCCGCCAGAATTCAAGCTCAAAACTCCTCCAGTCCTTCAGCTTCTCTACTTCATCCAACATCAAAACCCTCAAACAAACCCACGCCAACCTAATCCGAACCCAAGGAATCCACAACCCTCTCCTCATCGGCAAGCTCATCGCCGACATCGCCACCTCTCACCCCTCAAACCTCCCCTACGCTCGCTCCGTCTTCTCCCAAGTCCAAACCCAGCCCAATACTTTCACTTGGAACTCCTTAATCCGAGGCTACGCTCACTGCCAAAACCCAACAGAAGCCATTGCCCTCTTCCGGCTCATGCTCTGCAATGGCGTCTCCCCAAACAACTACACTTACCCTTTTGCCCTCAAAGCCTCCGCCTCTCTCCCGGACCCATGTGTCGGCCTCTCGCTTCACGGGTCCCTCATCCGTCGAGGTTTCGAAGATTTTGATGAATATATTCAAACTTCGCTCATTAACTTCTATGCCTCTTGCGGGTCTGTAGATGTCGCATGCAAGCTGTTCGATAAATGTCCTGTGAGAGATGTTACTACTTGGAATGCGCTTATTAAGGGGTATATCGAATGCGAGAGGTATAATGATGCGATTCGAGTGTTTAGGGTAATGCAGGATCGATCAAAGGTTAAGGGTGATGAAATCACGATGTTGGCTGTTGTATCGGCTTGTGCACATCTTGGGGCGTTGGAGGTGGGGAGATGGATGCATGCTTATATTGATAGGAATCGAATGAGGACGAGCTTGAACTTGGCGACTGCGTTGGTAAATATGTATGTAAAATGTGGGGAGATTGAGATTGCGAGCTCGTTGTTTCGGGGAATGAAGGAGAGGGATGTTAGGGTTTGGAGCGTGATGATCAGCGGGCTCGCCATTCATGGGCTTGGAAAAGAGGCATTGGGGCTATTCTACGAGATGCAATCAATTGGAATCAATCCCGATTCTGTTACACTCACTGCCGTTCTAAGCGCTTGTAGCCATTCGGGCTTGGTTAATGAGGGGCTCAAACTGCTTGATCGGATGCAAATAGATTATCTCGTTGAGCCAACAATAGAGCATTATGGTTGCATTGTGGATCTTTTGGGAAGGGCGGGGAGATTAAAAGAAGCCCTAGGTTTGATTCAGAGAATCCCTCTGAAGCCTGACGTGGCTCTCTGGGGCGCTCTTTTGGTCGCATGCAGGGTTCATAAGGATGTTGATATGGGAGAAAAAGTTGCAAAGGAAATGCTTGAATTAGATCCTCATCATGCTGGAGCTCATGTGTTCTTGTCGAATGTATATGCTTCTTATAAAAAATGGGAGCTTGTCGAAGAGGTCAGAAACTCAATGAAGGATCAAAAGATCAGAAAACCTCCGGGATCGAGTTTAATCGAATTGGATGGAGTCGTGCATGAATTTGTATCAGGAGACAGTTCACATCCTGATTCTCAAAAGATTTATTTGATGTTGGACGAGTTTCGAAGAATTAGGAGAATGAAAGAGCATCAGCCGTTCAGTGGACAAATGTTGTTTGATATTGAAGAGGAGGAGGACAAGGAGGTATGCCTTTCTCAACATAGTGAGAAATTGGCTGTTGCTTTTGGGTTGATTAAGACTAAACCAGGTTCTCAACTGCGCATAGTAAAAAATTTGAGGATTTGTGAAGACTGTCATTCGTTGATGAAGATGGTGTCTGAGTTCTTCAAGCGTGATGTGATTGTTAGAGATAGAAGTAGATTTCATCACTTTCGGAATGGAGATTGTTCGTGTAAAGAGTATTGGTGATTGATTGAGGTATGGCGTGACGTTTAAATCATCCTATTATTCATTTTCATTAGAGTTGAGTTGCAGTTGAACAAATGACCTTGATTTTAAGCACCATAGATTTTTGGGGAGAGAAGTAGTTACTTGGTTTGTTTTCAGGCAACGAGGTTCAAATTTATTGTTTCCAGCACAAAATTAACTTTAGGTGGCAATTTGTTATGGATTCGTATTTCCAGCACAAAATTTAATTGGTGAAAGATTTTGGTGAGCAAATATGTTCTTGTGGAATTTCAAGCATACATAAAAATGGAAGCTCTTAGGACTTACCGACCTTTTACTTTAAGTGTAGATATATTAAAGATCTTCTAAGGTTTAGAATCGTGGAGTGCGTATTATACTGGATAAGTGAACAGCAGAAAAATTAACTTTTTAGGACTACCTGACATCCAAATGTGGGCTCTTTTGTGGATGTTCAATAAATTAGCAATTCTCTGTTTTAAATTTACTTGCACGTCTTTTTTTTAATAGCTTTTACCAATGGAAATTGTTGATTGAAAAAGTGCTTGGAAAATTGTAATATCTCATTAGGAATGTCAGATGATGTACGGAATGCCCTAAATTTTCGACTTTGCATTATTCTTGTATTTATTATCTATGTGCTGTTTGTTTTGCCGAATGTTTGGTATGACCTTCTTTTGTTTCCCACAATGTTGTCACGTTACTCGTTGTAAAACAAGAATAGTTCTTTGTTGATGGCCATCTTGGTCTTATTTCTCTATGTTAACAAATCCATCTTGTTGATGGCATCCTTTGTTGGGTAGATGCTCTATCACTTTGGTACTTGCTATAGGTTTTATTTACTAGTTCTTAGATTATTGTGTCTGCTAGTCATTGTCCTATCTAAAACTGCAATAAAGTTGCACCAAAGTAGGCATATTTTGATGAAAATCTCTATGAATATACCGATTTGTAATGGGAGATGGATATCAGTTATTCACCAAGAAGAGCTTGTTTGTGGTTCTTTGAATATAATAGTTATTCTCACGTAAATTGAATTTCGTTTTAAGATCTCTGAAAGTTATGAATTTTTGGCATATTTCATGATAACTTCACATGATACTTATAGTTTATCAGTAAAGGAAAACTTAGAGACTTCTATATATAATTATCAAGAAGATCCAGGATATGATTTGCAAAATTCTCAAAGTAATCATCTCTTTTTGAATTAAGCTTTTAAACTTTTCTGAAAGCATGATGGGATCAGTTTTACTAGGGGTTTTTTAGATATTTTCCCTCAAGCCTTTATCTTTTTCATTTTGTGCATTTCTTTCAGAAACTTTCAAGTTGGTACGACACTACGGTTATATCAATGGCATTTTGTAACTCAGTTTCGCGAGTATGTTTCTAGCTTTTATTGTACACAGACTACCTACGTAACATTTTTTTTTAATTGTTTGTTAAGCCTGCTTTTCATGTTGGAGCTGATATGCAATTCTGCTCTTATTTGGTTTGTGTTTTACTTTTTCTACACGTATATTGGTTATTGACAAGCCTCTGATTTCCCTGTTGCTATTTTGAGCTGTTCATCTTGCTATCGTGCATTCGTTAAAAAAGTGCGTTTTTTTTTTAAATGTAAGTTTGAGCTTTTTATGATTGGCGCATTTAGTTCAGACTTAAGAGGTCATGCATTTGTTAAATATAAGGTACATTTCTTGCATAATTTTAAGCTTTTCACGATCGGTGCATTCAGTTAAATAGGTCATGCATTTGTTAAATAAGTATGTTACGTGCATAATTTTGAAATATTCAGGACTGGTGACTGCTGGGATATGAAAAGTTTAGATGAATCATTTGCTTGTTTGCCAGGGCTTGAATCGATTTATCTAAACAGCATGCTAGTATAGTTCTACAGGGATGAGTTGTTTCTATAGTTTTATTCATGCTTGAAAGTTATCTGTCATAAATACTATGATCCTATATGCTTAACAGGATCAAGCTCCCCTCGGGTTCTAAAACGATCGTCCCGAGTGGCTGCCGAGCAATTCTCAAGGCCGGTAATGCCTACCATAAGTTAATTCCGCGTCAAGAGGAACTGCTGGCCAAAGGTCCGTGGTGTGGCCATGAACCCAGTCGAGCATCCCCACGGTGGTGGTAACCACCAGCATATTGGGCATGCCTCCACGGTTCGACGTGATGCTCCACCTGGACAGAAGGTTGGTCTCATTGCTGCGAGGAGGACCGGGCGGCTCAGGGGACAGGCTGCTGCTACTGCTTCTAAGGCTGAGATTGGAGCTTAAGTGGTTTTTGTGCTGGGAGCAAAGACTAATTGTTATGAGGATCCTTTCTTCTTTGGGTAGTTGGGTAGGGAAATTATTTGGAACTTGTTCAGTCTTCAGTATTCAGTTTTGGGTAACTTCGCTTTGATTGCTCTAGTGTTTTATGTTTTCACCGGAACATTTATTCTTCTTCCTGTTGTTATATCTATTCAGTTCGATGCTAGATGAGTACATATTTTTCTTGTTTGGATCAAGATTTTGCTTTGTTATATTGAAAGTTGCTTAGACTGTCAATATATTTTTGGTTTCAGGTTTTATACTTTATATAGTTATTCTTGACGAGGCCGGAGATATTTAAGATAATTGTCATTCGCTTGACTTTGTTGCATATGTTATTTTGGTTCTGTCGTGACCATATACACTACAAACATAAAAAACATATACAAGAAGAAGAAAAATCAATGTGTATACCTAAAATTTACTTGTACCCAGAGCAAGTCGAAAGCATGAGAATTTGATACAAGAAGAGATGTAATCAGAATCAATCACATTCGAATCATTCTGTGTTCATATAGTTGATGTAGCAAGTTCATCTGGGATTTTTACCTTTACATGACTCTACATAGCATGAAGTGTAACTCCAAGCTGATATTTGTCCAGCAAATGAAAATTTTAAATGTTTTTTTTTTAATTTTTTGCTTTCATAACTCTTGTAGTTGTTTCACCATTGAGCGCTTGAGAAAAATTAATTGAAGCATCTTTGTTGACATGTTTTAGGATAATAATGTTTGAACTGTATCGTTTTGAATAACTAGCAAGTTCAAAACCATGTAAGATTATATGCAAATTAGAGTCGTCGTAAATTTGACTCAATTTTCTTGAGTTAAGATTGTGCAAACATGTTCAGTAACTTATAAACTTTTTGAAAATATGATAGAACAGAATCGCAATTTAATTTAATTGTTTTTTGTAAATTATTTAAAATCAAAACCTAATTCTAAAAAGTATGACTTAAAATTATGTTGCGATAATTTTCTTCCTCTTTTTCTTAGAAATGTACCCAAATGAGAGAAAATGACTTTCTTATGAATCTTCTTCAACTTTCATTATAATATTCTTTCTAACTAAACAATAAAAGGGATATCATTTTCTTTTCTTTTTCTTTTCCTTTCCTTTTACTTTCTTTTTCCTTTTCTTTTCTCTCCCTTCAACCTTATTGCTTCTTATACCAAAATTCATCTCCTAAGGCCCTCTTCGGATCCCACCCCCCGCCGCCGGCGGGCCCGAAAAAGCTCTCCTCCTGGTCCTCCTCCGATCCGCCACCAAACCCAAACACGACCCAATAAAGTATTCGGATTCAATCTCAGTTAAGACCCTCACCCAATAACACCATTTGGAGCGGGAACGACGATGGCGCGGCGGCTGGAACCAGCACTCGGCCCGACCCAGCTCCCCCTCCGCCAACCGCAGTCTCTACTGCGACGGCTGCGGCGGCCGCGACTTCTACCTCCGACGACGACGGCTACTACTAACTGGCACCCAGTGCGGGTCCCCAGTCCCAAGACCTCATCCACACCCAGACCGCCGACGAGGACCTCCTCGCCGACGGCGCCCTCTACAACATACGCCACCCGCACCCTCCTCTCGCAGGAATTGATCGAACACTTGGCGGGCGCCCGGCGGCAAAGCAAGAAAATGAGGATTGCTTCAGGGTCGGGGATGATGGGTTGTCGGAGGCGCGAGGGATTTCGGGTCGGGTTTGTTTCGGATAGGAGGAGCTCGTGGATGTGATAAGGTTTAGGTATGTGAGGGGTTGCAGGTGATGGTGCAGAGGCAGTGCGAGGTTTTGGTGGAGAGGTTTGGGGTGAGTGCTTTGTTGTTGGGATGTGGGGCCCGTTTGGTTGAAGGTATGTGGCGGCGAGGAGGGTGCTTGCGGATGATTGGCCGAGAAGGCGATTGAGGAGTCGGAGGTCACGGCTGAGGCTGCCGGGTTGACTCGGGTTGGTGAAGAAGGTAATGCTGAGAAAAGCCATTTTTATTATTGATAGTACTGTTTTATGTTATGTGATGGTTGTGGGTTGATTGAATATTGAATTTGGAAGCATAAGATTGCTGCTAGTTCAATCCAATTTCATGTTGTGCTGCTTGATTTTTAGCAAAAAGGCATGGCTTAAACTGAAGAATGTCATCTAATTATAAAATGTGATCGCAAAACTTAGGGGAAAGGGTGAGGGTTAGGGGTTATGGTTAGGTTAGGGCACTTGTTGAGGATTTTTGCAACTTTAGATTTAGAAATGGGGTCGATAAGTTTAAAATGACAAATACACTGTTTAGTTGATATATGTTTCATGCCGGGGATGTGGCGTTACCACGTGGGAGTGGGATTAATGCGTCAAGTTTAGTGCCCGAAAATTGCACTGGGTATAATCGGATTTATGATTTTAGTTAGATATCCTCTTGCAAAATGCATGTGCAACCAAACAAAAACTTGGTTGGGTTTTGTTTTTCATCCAAATCCTCTTTAATGTCTAGCTCCGAACAATGTTTCGACCATGACCTTTTCAAAATCCAATACTTGCTTGAATATCCTTGGAAATGCAATCCACAGCCAAAACAAGCCCTTATTGAGATACATGAATATTAGTGTTTCTTGTTTCCGTTCATCATTTCTGATACTCAGTTCTATAAGATCATAATGTTAAGCATAAAAATAGACTGTAATTCAATTGTATGTGCTATATTCTGTTACTCATCTTGTTTTAGATATATCATATACAGGAGAAGTTATGGGTGTTGTTGAGCTCATTTTAACTGAAATTCATTACCTGCCTTTACTATAATCTTGAACAACTTGTTAGCTTATATTATTTCCTCATTTAGTGTATTGTTGGCAAACAATTTTGATGTGTCAACCATTATTTCGTATGATTTTGCGTACTGTTTACTATATGGTAAATAACATCTTTGCCTGCTTCTTTATCTATATATGATTTACTAAAATTCCTAGTCCTTTGGCTGCAGAAAAACCCAAAAAGTTTAAGCGCATTCGACCCAAGTATAGATCAGAACCCCACAATGCATATGGTCAGAGAGCCATATTTATATGGCTCCATTCTTTGCGAAGAACGGTGCCTTTGTATTCTACATTGGCTATTTCTTTTTTAGTTTGCCACATTGCAAGAGAGCCAATCCTACCGACGGACATCTTGAAATGGGCGTCAGAGGGAAAACTCCCTTTTCTTGCTGCCTTCACTGAAATGGATCGACGCCTTGAAAAGCCTTCAAGTCCTTGCCCCTTGAGTTCAAGGGCTTTGTTCAGACCTATACAATTTATTGGAGCAGAACAACTAGAAGCAACAGCTGCTTCTATAGCTCAAGCTATTGGTTTACGCCTTCCTTCTGTGAATTTCTATGCAATTGCTCATCGGTATCTCAATGAGCTTTCCCTTCCGGTAGAGAAGATTCTTCCTCATGCATGTCGTATTTATGAATGGTCACTCCCTGCGGACTTGTGGTTGTTGAGTAAGGTCTCAGGATTTCCAACTCGTGCTTGTGTAATGTCAATTTTAATTGTGGCCATGAGATTGTTATATAATATACAAGGCCAAGGTATGTGGGAGATGAGTCACTCTAAAGTTAGAAATTCTCCTCCAGATGATCAGAAACCCGAAAAGAAATTGTTACATGTTCAAGCTTCGGACTACAGTTGTCAGGAGTTATTTAGCATTCTTGAAACCACATATGATAAGATCAACACAACTCGTGGTAACTAGTTTTTGCTTAGTTTTGTTTTAGTGTTTATCAATTATTTTCTATAACTTAGTTATTGGTGTAGATATACAAAGTGTTAAATGTTGAGTTGTAAGTTTGTAACCTTTAGGTAGTGTTGAATATCAATGAAATTTTCTAGTTTATTTATGCATATGAGTTACGGCTCTACCCAAAATTCAGCCATGGTTAGAAACAATATAAATGTTCAAAAGTTACTAGAAGACAAATGTTTTTGAGAAACTTCCCATGATCTTCATTTTTAGGTGTAATTTAGCAGTTATCTCCCAGACACCATTTTTTAACCTCTACCTTGTTAGGCTGTTTTCATGAGAGAAATGAGTTGTTGCACGCTTTTTGTGTGCTTACTTGGCTGGAGTTTATCTTTTTTGAGTAGCGGAGGACGAGTAAGATTCAATCAAAAGAAACTGAAAGTAGAATCTTGTCTTGACAATAAATGGTTGTTATTGTTGCCTGTGCTATTTTGCTTGTCAAAAGAGAACGAACACCCCTTATCTGGAAGTTTTAGGGACCCGACTTCTATTATGCTTGTTTATATTTGTATTAGTTACGAAAAGTAGTAATTTCCTGTCTATTGTTGTTAGTATGATCCATCCTTTCCTTTTATTTTTATGTTAAGTCTTGGAAAAGCACAAGGCACGATATGGAGGAAGAGTATGGAGGGTAGTGCAGTATCACACTTGAGATGAATCTGTAGGGTAAAGAAAAAATGAGACACAAATACAAGAGTAAAGGTTAAAACCAAATTCAAGGCTTTAATTCTATCTACTTCTGATAGTGAGAAAATTGACTGTAAGTAACAGACAGATTTTTGTTTCAATAGAGATCAGTCTTGGACATTCTAATGTTTAAAGGTTGTTCGTATGTGGATATTAACTTATATTCACTTTCATGACTGGAGAAGGTTGGCACAGACACAACCGAGGTTAATTAGGTCTAGGTTAATCTGGTTAAGTTAGATTAGGAACAAAAACCTACAGAGCAACCAGCATGAGCCTTAAAATAATGATCATCCAACTTCTAGTTTTTATTGGGGCGCGTTCTGGATTTTCTAACTAAGACACGTCAAAACCCCCCTCCTCCCGACATGATTCTTTATAGAGGACTCTCTATAGGATATTTTTCTGATTCAAAATAGATGATATATAATTGAGAGAATGATCATCCTTTTTGGTGCATAGTACAGTCACCCCCGTAACATCACTGTTTTGAACTTATTGTTCCTGCGTTTTCATTGGCCCCCACCCAAAAAAAAACCTAAAAAAAGATCTTTTTTTTACTCTTTTAGCCGAAGATAGACTCTTAAATGTCACATTAAGGCAATATTTATAGTAATGTGACCCAGGGTAAAAGAGTCAACAAAATTAAATGATGGGTTCCATTTGCAACAATGAAACTACATGGGTAGTAAGTTCAAAACAACGATCTTGCAGGGAGTCTGTGCGATTAACCCTATTTTTAAACATGTCTTTTATTCCAGTCTTTCTCTGTACGAGTTGGTCACTAATCTTTATGTACTCCAATCTTATTTTAGGACGATGGTGAAGAGGCAAAGAGACCAAGACACGGGGCATCAACGAACGGTTCATGGCATCCCATTTTAGGACGATGGTGAAGAGGCAAAGAGACCAAGACACGGGGCATCAACGAACGGTTCATGGCATCCCAAGAAACACGAGGAAAATAACACATGCACAGAGACACAAATGGATGAAGATATCACAATAGAGAATAATCCAACAAAACCTTTGAATCATAATATAGAGAAGCATGAGGAAAATAACCCAGGCACAGAGACACAAATGGATGAAGATATCACAACAAAGAATAATCCAACTAAACCTTTGGATCATACTATAGAGAAGATAAAACTCGAAATGGAAGAGAATGGATTTGAGTACCTTCCTCCTAAAGCTCACCCAAAGATTGGGTATATTCACTATAGGAGGCAGAAAATAGACGGTAAGCTTGTTTGTGTTTGTCATGCTGCTTACTATGTATTGCTTCGGGCTTGTGCTAAGCTTGTTGAAGTTGATGCTCAGACTATGCATCGATGTGTGCTTAGTCTCGAGCGGAGGCTTGAGTGGATCGACAAGCGAATTGATGAAATTCTTTGTCATCAAGATAGTGGTCCTTGATTATTTTTTTAAGTTAATGAGTGTGTTTTAGCTTTTTTGCACTTTTATTCTCTTATTTGTGTGTTCTATAGGTAAGGAAAAGAAAGCTGTTCAATATTTTGTGTTTGATTCATCTTTTATGCGTTCATAGCTATTCTTATCATGAGGAAACAAATGAAGGGAATCCAAAGGAGACAAATCCCCATCTACCACCTCTACTATAAGCGGGATCACTTCTTACATCGTAATGATACTGTATTTTTACTTGATTTGCATACCTATTGAATCCTGAATCATGCATCGATATAAGTTACTATGTTTACAATCTGATACTGTTGAACTGTGTTTATATCATTCAAATATGCTCGAGCCATAAGATGAGAGCATTTTTTTGGATAACAAGTGTTGTGTTATTTATAGCTTTGCTTTCTATTTGGTTAGAGACAGGATATATAAAGTTTTTTTGAGGGAGAAATTTTTTTCACATATATAATCGTGTAGACGCATACATTATTCTTCTTTGTTATCTCGTTCATATTTTGCATTGAGTTTGGCCTATATTTTTGACCAATCTGACCTGCTCGATAAGAAGGCCAAATTTTGAAACACGCACTTCCAAAAATTCTTCACGTATTGTAGTTTATTTGGGTTTTTATCAGGGTTGGATTTAAACTAGCTAGATTTAGTCACTATCGAATCCAAAAAAGTGACAAAATTGGAGAAAAATTTGGCCGACGACAGTTACGTCTCATGAAACTATGTGATCACTATTGATAGCTTTAGGGGCTGTTTGGATAGGTTTTTTTGGGTGGTAAAAGAGGAGAAAACTGTCAAAAATGTCAGCTTTTTGGCAGCTTTCCCCCAAAATCACCTTTTTAAGGGGTGATTTTGGGGGAAAGCTGTCAAAAAGCTGATATTTTTGACAGCTTTCCCCACTTTTACCACCAAAAAAAAGGAACCAAACAGCCCCTTAACTTTCAACCATTGATATCAATGATCAACGTGGCAATCCGCAATAATTCAGAGACGTTGCTTTCCAAAACGAGTCACCTTAGAAATTGCGTGTCAAATTTGAACCCTTGCGCGCTTGCTCTATTTTCATGAAAAATATGTTTGTGTTAAAGAGTCTTTCAGATAATAATTGATTGAGGCGCTTTGAGGTCGCCGCGATTAAAGGCGTTACTAATCATGGAGTTTTAGATTATTATAAGTTAACGGGTGACCTTCCGAGCTTTCTTCCTAAAATTTTCTATGAGAACATGAGTGGCATGTCAATATCCATCTGCACCACCACTGCTTAAAAAATTTGCTAATTTTAAAGGGTGAGGACTTCATCCCGCATATGATACCGCAACGAAAAAAAAAAAGTTATCAAATAAATAACACTTGTGTTGAATTCAGGGGTGGTTTTCTAAATGGATGAGCACGGGAAAGTATCCGGTGGATTCGGATCCGTCACGTTAAATGTGCATCATAAAGATATCGTCCATTGGAACCCGCGCCATTAGTAAGAATTCAAACTTCGGCGGGGCCAGAACGCCATAGCATTTGTGTTTCGGGAATTGATTCATGTGCTTGTGCTTAAGAATTAGGCTTTGGGGGTTGGCTTGTAGTAGGTAGGGGTGCATTCGGTCCGGATACGGTTCGGATATGATGCTTACCATATCCACATCCGCTTACCCTTCTCGGATACGGATACGGATACGGATATATCTCGGTAAGGAAAAAGTTATGTCCATATCCGCTAAAATCGGATAAGGTTACGGATATAGATGCTGATATATAAGCGGATATGCATGCGAATACAAAACGGATATGAGAAAACTAGATAGTATTGAGAAAAACATAATTAATGTGATACAAAAGAGATCGTTAATATGTTCACTATTACTAAAAAGCTAAGATTAGACATCTTGATCATCAAAATTAACCACAAATCCATAATTTAAGAATCGAAACTATCGTAAGAGTATGACTAATATGTATTCGGATATTTTGGATACGGATATAGATATTTCACTACAATATCATATCTGTAACCATATCCTATCGGTTATAGATTTGAGTAACCATATTCGCATCCTAACGGATGTTAGAAAACGGTTACGGATATTTCCTCGGATACGAATACGATTTAGCACCCCCTACTTGTAGGTCTTTGCTTTAAGATTTAGGAAAAAATTTAATGGTTGGCATCCCTTTCATGCACCTCTAACGTCATAAACTAGGTCTATTGGATACTTGCACGTTTAATGTCATAAACTAGGTCAAATGAATACTTTTCCGATCAATAGAGAGAACAATAAAATTATATCTCCACATTAATGATTCATCCGCTCGTTATAATGTGAAAACTAATGGAACGGGCCACACACCCAGCATCCAAGGCTCAACGAGTAGACTTCACTTTACAAAAAGTTCCTATATTGTATTTTAGGTAGGCTATGACCCATATTTTAAAAACTCTCCTGCAATAATTATTCAATGAGATAAGTCCACTCAATCAGTGGAAATATCTCTAAAAAAACCCTCTGTTTTGCACTGATCCAAAGTAAACAATCATTTATGCAATACTTAATTAGATAAAGACATAAATCCTGCATCTAAGACCAATGAGTACGTTTTACTCTACTCCCAACCCTTCAACTTTTCTTACAAGCTAATCATTCAAAAATTCAAAATCCATCAGAATTATTCTCTTGCATCAAACCATCATTAAACATGATCACCACATGCTTTCCTCTCTAAATAATCTCAAAACTCTCTCTCTCTCTCTCTTTCTCTCCACACATCTTTCATACAAAGACTCTCTATAATTCACATCCAACAATAGTATCATATACAACTTTACACAATACCTTAAAAAGATAATCATGACTTGATCGTCTGTCGCTTAACACAGCAAAATTTAGCAAACAGATTACCACTATTTTTCCTCTGTAAATATTAGCAGCTCTCACTGTGTAAACACTATGCACACAAAAACCTCTCGCCAAGAGGAAGACACACATCACCAATCAAGGCCTCCACATATCTTGAAAGCTAGACTGGAAAGAAACCAACACCAACAACAAAACCACCACCGCAGCCACCCCCCACGGCGAGCTCCCCTCCGACGCCTCCCCTACGTAGGCATAACCCCTCCTCCTCCGGTCACCGGGATAAAACCCGAAGATCCCGCCGTCGAAGCTCTCGACCGAGGAAATCCAGCGGATCAAGAGGAGGAGGGCGATCGGAGTGGCGAGGAGGAGCCAGTTGAGTTGCTCTTCGGTGCTCTCGATGAGGTCTTCGTAGCTGAAGGACCACGAGATGCCGAGGAGGAGGAGGACCATGAGGAGGATGAGGATGACTGGGTATGGGAGAGGAGACAGGGTGAAAGCATCAAAGATTGAGGGGTCTCTTCTTCCATATGCCATTTTTTAGAGAGAGAAATTAAGAGAGAATTAGTAGGCTAGAGAGCAATGAAAGAGGTTAATATGTGTACAAAGAGAGAGAGAGAGAGAGAGAGAGAGAGAGAGAGTGTGTTAAATGTAAACAGCCGACACTAGTTTTCAACTAAATAATGAGTGCACGTTAAGGGAACGGACATTAAGTTTCAACAAGACTAATAAGTGCACACTAAGGGAATGAGATGGGTTTAATGTGGACAATGGGTCATACTTTGTGCTGAAGTGGTCCGTAGGATTTCTCCTGATCTCTACGGATGGTTTTCATGGGCGTCGTCAGCACATGGAAATGGAAAACAAACGTTTGTGTTCTACAACCACCCTAAAACCGGGCCATGATTAGACCATCTCCAACCCATCGCACCAAAATGGTGCAAATTTTATACTAAAATGGTACAAAAGTCACATCAAACAGTAATTCATCTCCAACCCACTGCACCATTTTTTGCACAAAAAAAAGAATATTCTCAGTATATTCCTTTTTATCTACTTTTATATTATTATTTTTTATTCCCTATATTTTTAACTATTTCAACAAATAATTAAGATATTATTGGGATAAAATATTATTGGGGTAAAATATTATAAAATATTACAATAAAATATTATTTTATTAATTAATATTATTAGGATAAAATTATAAAATATTATTTTATTATTTTTATTATTGATATTACCAAAATATTACATTTAAGAACACAACAGAAAATAAAATACGGTAAAAAATAACTTGATGAACAGTAATAGAGCGATGAACAGTGCGACGCCAAATATGGTGTCACACTGTTCATTTTCACCAAAATGGCGCAGGAAATAGGGCATGGTTGGAGAAGGAATAGTGTCGTTGCACCAAAATGACGCGGGAAATGGGGCATGGTTGGAGATGCCCTTAGTTTTAACCATAATTTCTTCTGAACCGGTTATATTTTGGTCCCGAGTGAGATGGTCCAGAACAAAACCAATTTTTAAGAGCCAAATTTGGCCTTATGAAAACTAGCTAGGCCAATGCTGGACCACGCGTAAACACAAACTTTGTCAACATGGGACCAGGTTTACTTCTGGTATCATTTTGAGGAGTTGCCAAACACATCCCTAGGCTTATAAGCTTTTTTAATTTAGCAGCGAGACTCCTGATATCCAAAAAGAATTATCTCCCGTTCACGTGACACTCATGTGATGCATAGGAATAAAGATGAGATAACTTTGTCATCTTAATCACAAAACTATTCGCTAAAGAGATAAAATCAAGTGAACAGTAAAAAAGCTGGAGTGAGTGTGACATCCTCACAATCTCTGTGCCCCAAGGATCCAAGTATACAGCCTACTAGCTATAATCTATGCCAAGGGGATATAACACTAGAAGTGTGCATTTCTGGGCAATTTTTACACAATAACTTGCTTCTATAGCAGTATTGTAATCTAATAACAAATACCATTAACTCTTACAAACTACCCCGGTTCATTAATAGATTCTGTTAGAGTATAAAACTATTATACCCCTCATCCTCTCCAAAACTTTGGAGTTTTAGTATAGCGGTAGAGACTTTAAGATGGCATGAGAGCAACCCAGGTTCAAATTTCTCTGGCCACAAATTTAATGTGAATTTTATAAAAATTATTAATATCGCTATACTTGTCCAGGTTTCATTCTGAAAAAAAGACACTCAACATGCAAGGCCATATTAGAACGCTATACTTGTCCAGGTTTCATTCTGGAAAAAAGACAAGGCCATATTAGAATATATAGAACTATCACCCTTAAACTCTCTCTAAAACTCTGGAGCTTTAATGTAGTGGCAGGGACGTGAAGAGATTCAATGTTGACTTATTTCAGGTGCTACATGCTAGTTTTTTCTTCAATACTTCATATATTAACATATAGCATAAATTTGCCATATGGAAAGTGAAGTAGATTGTGGTGTAATAACTTTTGACCAAGCTAACTCGATTTGACAACGTTTTGAGTGATCCAACAGTTTTCGACCAAAGAAAACAAATAAAACTCCATGTAAAAGTCATTTTTGCGATGGAGATGTCGATGGTTTGGTTTTACCTCAAGAACTAGGATGCTATTTGAATATACTTGACAAACAACTCCCAATCTAATAAAATCATTTGTGCATAACTCATTTTGTACAGATAAAATTGTCATAAAATTAGTAGTCAGGTTATTTTTCCCTTGTGTATACAAAACCAGACAAAGAAAGGACTACAGTTGTGCTGTCCAGACCCAACTTCACAACTATTAAAGGATCTCTCAGCGCCAATCAGTACTCTGTTTACAGGTTTTCTGTAAGTTGTTTAGTGGAAGGAAGAGGAAGGAATTGTTGATAAAATTCCAAATAATTTTGTAACAAAAAAGTACATAATGTGGCTTATGACATACAGCGCCTATACACTAGAATGACAGTATGAAGATAGTTGCCGTGCTTATACACTACAATGACAGTGTCGCCTTTAGCTGAAAGGATATTTAGTGAGTTAATTATACATAAATTACAGAGCTTAGCACCGGTAAGCAATAATGAGACAATAAGACGTATAGATACAACAAATAATACAGCTGATGGTTATACATTACAGTACTAGAGGAGGAGAGTTCTTCAGCTTTGGAACCTTAAAATTTGAGTGAAACAATGGTGGCCTTTCCATTGATGCAGAGGCTGCTGTTCTCCTGCTCGAACACCGCACAAGCGCCTGGAGGAAATTAAGATAAAGAAAGTTAGTATAGATTGTTTTGACCATAACAATGAAAATACACACTCATAAACCTAGCAGCACAAATTATACTAGATATAACATAACTGCTGCGTCTTTAATGCAGAAATGAAAGAGCAAGCATCTAGCACATTTTTAAGGCATAAAAATATACTTGTTTCCCACTAAATAGCATAGATCAAAACTTAAAAAAGAACTATTAAAATTGTGATCAACTGAGATTAAAAGACCAATGCGGTATTAACCTTAGCGTTTTTATGGTTTCTTCCTTTCCTCTGGTCAAGGTTACAAGCAGGACTTATCTGCCTGTAAGGGATAAAAGTGAAGCTACAAGCGAAATGTAAACTATTTCCAGCATATAATCTAATATGTACAGCCTGATATTATTTACTACCTAAATTATTTATATTTATTCCCATTGCCGGTTTAGTATTGAAGTTGACAAGAACATATATTAACACGTCGGTCACCGATTATCAACAATTGATATCAGAACCGATTATTCCTCAACAAATGGTACCAGAGCCAATTGTGTCAACGAAATCACAGATCCAAATGCTGGGAAATAGTAAGAACGTAAATTATATAGATTTCTTCCCATTGCCGGTTTAATATTGAAGTTGACAAGAACATATTTTAGCGCGTTGGTCACCGATTATCAACAATTGGTATAAAAGCCGGTTATTCCTCAACAAATGGTATCGGAGCTAATTGTGTCAACGAAATCACAGGCCAAAATGCTTGGAAATAGTAGGAACGTAGGTTGTACGCACATCATAAATACATAGCACATACATGCTTGGTGTGTACTACGCCTAAAACAAATGTTGGTTGAAGCACGCCATGTGCTTTTGAACAAGGGTCTGGCAGTCTGGGGTCAGCCCAGGTCACTAAAAGCAAACCTTTCTTATTGCATCCTGAACTCATGCAATCTGAAGTTATAACTGTATCCTTTTTCGTAAAGAGCCAGATCAATATATTGTACACCAAGAAGTGACATGCATAGGCATTGAGAAGGTAGAAGGTATCTATATCCATAGTTCTGGATGCTTTTGCATTTTTCTCTAGTCTTATATCATGGTCCCAATTAACAATTAAAAGATCTCTCTTCCTTACCATCAATCTGTTTTATCTTCTTTAAACTCGAGTTATTATCAGTTTTCACTTTTCACAAACATCACTGCTATTCTTGACGTCAAACTCCAAATTATTGTCCCATTATAGACTTCAGGCTCCTTTTCGCAACAAACTCACTGTCATCACTCATCAGTCACTCTCAAAGTATAAACGAGTTGGAAAATATTAGCACTCATCAACCATTGAAGAAATATCTATGTAACAATACTGATAAATATTCAAACAAACTCAACCTAGTCCAGCTCTATCAGGCTGGGCTTAGGTTGGAGAAATGTCATACAAGGTCAGCTCAGGTCTACTTTGGATTAGAGGATATGGGAACACTCCCAGTTAGGATTAAACAACAACATCCAATCCAACCTGCCACAATAAATCCATAACTAGCTAGTTAGCACTTAGCAGCAAGCAGCCATGCACACATATAAGCAAGCAAGCCAGTAGTGCATGCCCAAACAACAGTATGTGTGTATAACATATAATATTACTTGTCATATATAAATGTGATATTACTCTCTTTCTACACAGTACGGTGATAAAATTATGTACAAATAGACCCAATAATTGATGCAGATCATAAATGACTAACATAAGTTCATAAACTGTATTATGTTTATTTAAAAGTGAATCATATATGACACTATTTAGCAGTTGGAGAGGAATAAATCCCAACTGAAAGGGGTAGTTGATATGAAGAATTTTAGTCAGTCAATGATTGCAAAAGCACTGAAACTCCTGTCACAAAGAGAAAAAGAACACGCTGAATGGCTAATATGTCATTATAAGATTTTGAAAATTTTACATTCGATAATCTTTCAGAGGAATTTGCCTTCAAATAGATAGTATGTATAGTGATGGATATACTCGAACTTCCCCGCTGTAGAATGTATCATTAAGAAAATTTAATGTTATTTGCGTATTCTGTGAATATCAGAAAGTAAATTATATTAAGAATACTTTATTAAACTTATTCTCACTATAGAAGCCTAACAGCCATAATGCTCAGGGCAGGCTTACAAAACCACGCTGAACTTTGGGAGGTTCACACAAAACTTCCCTAAACCTTTTCCTCACTA